AAAACTTTAAAATCTTCTCATCTGCAAAATACATAAAACCCCGTAAGAAGAGAGCGAGAAAAGCTACCAGCACCAGACAGGGGTGAGCCCGCTGGTGAGCCCGAGGGGCAGCGCCTTGCTCCTTCGAGCTCGGCGGCAGTCCCGGGGCCCTCTGCCCACCGCCCAGACGGCGTGCCTGCCATCCTCGAACACAGCCACCGACATGCTAACTGCTCCTCGCACGGTATCGATATGGATAGTCCTGTATGGACATACATATGTACACACCGAAAACCATGCGTATTTGTTTAAAGAGGGAATCAAGCCACATACCACTTAAACATTTTCTAGAAAGACTAATTGATTTCATTATTTTCAATCATTAATTTAACAAAACCATGCCAAAACCATCTAAGTGCTCTGTGCACTCTGCCCATTTCGACTGTTAAAGACTTACAACTTAAATATGTGCTGCTTTTTTCAAACATCTGTTTTTTCAGTGTGTTGGACCACAGCGTAGGTTTCCTGAGGTTTTCAAGTGAGGGAGAGCAGAGAATGAGGAAGTGCAATTAAAAGGGTCCAGCCCCTAGCTATCACTTAGTTTGATGAAAGTGCAGGGGACAAGGCCACACCTAAAAAGGCCAAGATCAGGTTTAACTTTTGCCTTGACAATATTTTCTCTCTGTAAACACATGGCTAAGAAATCAACACAAGACTTAATTCTTGCAAACTTCCCCTAAATTTCAGCACCAAGAAACACTATAGATTGCAGTGCAGATGCTGTAAAGAACTACAGCTGAATCTGTGCAAACTTTTCCTTTTGATTTTCAGTGTCGTGTTGGTACCTGGAATGGTACTTCTTGGCCATACCCAACTAAATGACGACCCTCTTCCTTCCTACTGTAGAACTGGATTCTGCACTAGTAACAAGAGTGGCATTTCTTTCTTTGACTTAAAAGTGGAACATAATTCATGCTCAAAATCATTACTCACCTCTTACTCGCCAGCATATGAGCCAGGAGGTGACGGTGGAGGAGCTAAGGAGGACATGGGGCTTTGATGGAAGCAATGAAGTATGAGGAACCCCAATGCCCAGTGTTAAGCACCTCCGAAAATCAATGACAGCTGAGGACTGGCAAGCTTCAAAGGAAAGCTGCTCAGTAATTCTAGTAAAAGCTCAATTTTTGTGGTATCCCTGCAGGAGACTAGAGTCATGGCACACCAGATGTCTTTGCAAAAAAATTTAAAGTTAAAAAAATGCAAATACATTTGTATACACTGAGAAACAAACATCATCTAACTCTGTTCAGCTTTTTATTACTGGCTTCTGTTCTACTGCACAATTCTAACCTACGAGATAGAACAGGCTCCACTTACAGTGACCCCCACCAGACCTGCTCAGAGCAGTGGGTGAAATGCAAACCACAGGGGGCAATACTCTGTGCATTCCAATGAACAGGTTCGGCTCCTTCCTCATGCCCTGGTCCTGATCTGCCTGGGCAGACTGAAACTGAACTGGGAGTTTTAACATGGAAGTCACACGTGTGCAGCACCCCACCTCACGAGAAAATACGAGCTGGAAGTGAGCAAGGTCAGTACGTTTGGCCGATTTGGACAGAGCAAGGAGTCACCACTCTCTCCACAATCTCCATATAAACACTAGGATTTTTAGGACTCAGCTAACCTGCAGTGTTGTATCTTTTATCTTCCGTTTTTCAGAGTTGCAATTTTTGCTAATTCTCCTTTCTTCACCCTTTCAGAGGCTCAATATATTCAGTACCTGGCAATACCGCAGCAATGAGCAGAACTAGAGTTTGCAGAACTGGCCTACCATCACAACCAGGGAGAAGTTGACTTCACCAGCCTGCTGTGGTCACCTAGGTGTAAAGATGACACAGACACACGGGTGGAGGCGTGGAAACACCGCACTGCCTGCACAGCAGTTGAAAGATGGCCAGGCAAGTCAGCATACTCAAAATTGCTTTAGCTCCACAAATAAATATACAAAAGTAGGCGACAGTTACATTTGCAGGTGAGCCAAAAGAGAAGGTCTTTCCAGTCATTTAGCATGGAATATTTGTTTCTTCTTATTACATCAAAACCCCACGTTAGTCTGACTTAGCACTGGTTTACAGGAAGTTTAAGTTAAGAATGATGAGACATCCGGATCTTTTGTTTCAAATATGTCATTACACAATACAAGGGGGAAAAAATGCAACACAGCTTTAAAGGTCCTATAGAACAGTAACAAAAGTTTCAAACTGTGCTTTACATCTGTTATCCAGTGACATTTCTGCATGTCCCAACGATGAGTTACCATACTTAATAAAAGGAACCACACAGATCTCTTTTCTCACAGAAAGAAGAGCAAAACTCTTGACATTGCTTGGTTTGCTTTGTTTTCATGTGTTGATCAAAATGCATTTTATTGTTTTATTTTAAATTTAAGCTACTAGATTTCTTTAAGTTAGGTTTTTGTTGTTGTTTTTTTTAGTCTGAGAGTAACAAAATAACATTACCACAAAGCAATAAACTCCCCCTGAATACTGCAAGGACTTATGTCAAATTAGTTATTCTACAGAATAAGAACCTGATTTACAAAGAGATTAACTAGGCACTGTTCTAAGCACTAAGAATGAAAACTCAATGTATAATGCCAAGCAGTCTGCTCAGGTTTCTAAGAAAACAAAGAACATAAACAGGGACACTGTAGATTACTATATATAGCCACTTAAACATTACTATAATGTAAACATAATTTAAAAAGAAAATCATCATCAAATGCATTTATCAATATTGTATTTAAAATATTAAATTTCCAGTTTTTTCCAGATAACATCTTACTCAAATATAAATTGATAACCTCCTAAAATAACAGAATGCAAGTTTTACAAGGCTGTTAAACATGTGTATAATTCTTCTACAACAGCGCAGAAAGATTCACTGAAATGTGGAATTCTTGTTAGCAGGTGTATTTTTTTGCCAGTGGTCTATCTCAAGAAAAATATTACAAGCCTCTAGAAATATCAGGAAGTACCTTTTATGGCAGTTTCATTTTTAGATCTGAATAAAATACACATCAGAAACTCGTAGAAATTGGATTTGGAAGGAAAAATAAAGCTAATGCTAAGTAGATCTGTTGTGTATTAATTTTGAATGAACAAGTCTCAGTTTACAGACCATTTTACATGTCAAAGAAATTATTAGGATCAGAAGAAATTTAACTATAAACATTGCACCCCAACTGTTTCAAATCTGAGCTCCAGAGAACTTTACAGACACAAATCTGAATGCCATAAAGTACAGAGCAGAAGAGAAGCCAAGCCAAACTAAAGCAAGTGTTTTCTTCAAAAGAATTCAATATTTGCATTTTTTAGGCTGGTAAATTTTTAAGTTGCAGATTCCAACTTTGCATCAACATCTAAAACAGTCTATGGGTTGGCATGACTAGACAAAGACTGCAACTTCCAGGATGCACGAAAGGGAAGTGACATTTCTCAACTATAAATGCTGCTACGTAGTTAGCTTTGACTATAAAGCAGTAAGCTAATACCTCTAGCTTCTCATTGCCAATATTTGCCTGTTGTAAGTTCATTCTTTTGAAGAAATATTTTAATACTGCTCTTAAGAGGCAGTAACACCATGCAGTGCGAACGATACACTGCTTCTGTCATAGCCAAAACTACGCAGCAGGCTTCGCCGATGGTCTCATATAGCAGGAAAACAGAAATCTCTGAAGGACATAATACGACCACTGCTAAGTCACCAAAACATTCTACAGCCTATGCCCAAAAATTCAGGTTTTGGTGGGGATATTCTTTAAACACATCAATCAAAACAGTTATGGCAGCTTTGGATTTAATAACTGTCACCTCTATGGCAGCATTGATCTTAACAGCAATGTACTGAATTTAATTTTAACCAGAATCCCTCGTCTTCCTCTTCTTAAAGTGCACTTCTGTAGAAATTGAACATCTTCAGCAGACTCAAGTTTGATAATTGTTTCCAACAACAGCTTCATAACAGCACAGCAAAACGTTTATTCTCCCGATGCTTATTGGAGAATGAATCTGAAGATGTGGTGCTTTTCCTGGGGAAAAAACCTTCAAAACAAAATAAGCCCAGTTTCCTGTTCAAAACACATGAAAAAGAAAGTGGAATGTGCTATAAGAAAGTTGCCTACACACTGGGAGCACAATGACATTTATACAGATGTATACGCTGTGCTCTAGTTAGAAATTTATCCTTGCTCAGGTATCTAAAGGATAAATGTTATCCTCAGATTTCTGTGTAAACCCACATAATCATTTAAGGCTTTGCCTCCTTCCTGGATTAACTATGATACAGTTAACAGAAAGAGTTTCACCTCCTGTCTTTTACCCAGGGGGAATATTGACTCTCCTGTCTTTATCTCCAGTGTATAATAAGAAGTCACTGAACAGTTGTGTTTCCAGAGCAGTGTCGCTTCAAGGTACTGACACAAGATGAAACTTACTCCAGTTGATGGAACTGAGTATCCAAACATTGTAAAGAAGCTGAAATTCCAGTTAGAAAGCTGTCAGCTTTTATCAGACAGAGCACAACTCCTTTTACCCAGCTGAGAAATGTTCACCAATTGTTTTGACTGGCCATCCTATTCAGAAGAGGTGAAGCAGTGGACCATGCTCCTCAGCATCATGCTGGTTACTGAAGTGACCAAACACATAGAGCTCAATAGAGAAGAGTAGTTTGGAAGGAAACACCGCCACACAAATATGAAATCTGTTAGCTGTCAACAACAACAAAACAAACTGAGGGGCTGGGGTTGTTTCACATGGCAACAGCAACGAGCGTGAACTGGATATGCGTGAAAATAAAACTACACAATATAAATTTCCATAGTCATTCTATGTATAGCCCCATTTCTCTCTACACACTCTCGTGTAACGAATACAAGAAAGCTGAAGGGGCACCAGAGTGGGTACGAGTTTCTCTTCCCTGGAGGTGTCTCCACTTTCCCAACACAGCAGCACTTCTGCTTATCACTGCTCATTAGTGCCCTCTGTTGCCTCTGATGAAGACTTGTCTGTTTTCTTCGACTTCCTCTGCAGTTGCTCTTGTTCCTTCTTCCGAAGCTTTTCCCTTTGCTTTTCCATTTTCTCTTGAGCTTTGCGAGCTTTCTCCAAGGATGCTTTCATTTCCTTTAGCTTTTTTTTAATGATTGCTCTGTCCTGGGAAGATGTCATACCAAGAGCCTGAGGTGGGGAAAACAAAATTAAAAAATAAAAAGAATTTCATATGATTTAATCTATCACATTTTTTTTCATATTCTAGTAATAACTCTCCTTAGGTAGAAGACTATAACAACTAAGCAAATTTGAGACAGACTCGGAAACATTACTGATGTGTAAGTAATACACTTCTGTACTACTTTTCATGCCTTCCATTTCTAGAATATTAAAGAATTAGATCTCATTGCTGCCACCACCAATATCGATTTCATTGATCAAATGAGGCAAAAAAAGATTAAATTATTTGCCTGAAGTCATCTAAGTCTACATAGAACAAGACTTCCCAATTCTCACTTCTATGCCTTAGTCAAACATTCACTTGCTTTCTTCTAAAACCCCTAGAGTTAGTGAAATGCCAGCAAAAAAATTCATAAAGGAAAGACCAAACTTGGACTTTTAAATTTGCTGAGCTTCCCACAACTCCTTCCTGTAATTATTTTTGACAAAAGTACGCTCATATTTTCACTACAAGAAACAAAGCATACTTTATACATCAAAACTGTATTTAGTTCTAACATAGTACAACTGGTATCAGTTTATGCCTCCAGAATCCCACTAATCTATTTTTCAGTTGCTACTTCTGATGTGTATCTACTATCTTCTCCAAATCACCCTTTTGCAAAACAGAGCTGGATGAGAAATACGTGCATGCAAATACCATTTATACATGCTGCTATATGATTTATGCATGCTAATATGGGTACATTATATACACCCAGAGTTTTCACAAAGGAAATGCCCTCTGTTTCTGAAGCTTCTGAATCCAAGTGCATATGGGAATTTCTTAAAGTATTGCTGTGGCTTTATACTCTGTGTTTATTATTCTAGTCTATCACCACCCCACACATAGGGATTCACTGCTTGCTGGCCAAATTCTTACTTCCTTTAAGATTACCTAAAGTGACAACAAATACTACAGTTAGTCTGGAAGTCCAGTCCATCAATTACCTTGAGCTTGCTCCCATCCAGCTGAAGGAGATGCTCCCCGTTAATGTTTTGGGCACTGAATTCAGAAGCATACTGTTCAAGGTTCAGGCTCATTAACCAGTGGGAAACCTGCTGCACGCTCCACTCCTGAACAGCACGACTCTGACACTGACTGTGCTTAGGAGACTGTCCGTCATCAAGGATCTGCGACAAAAACATGCTGCATCATTATTAAAAGGGTAACAGGGATGAGTAACAACATTTTTCTGTACAAACTGCCAGCATCAGAGCAGAGGTAACTGTACTATCTTTACACTATAATAACAATTTCACACCACTATATTACATCTGTATCTAACTAGATATCTAAGAATTGGTACAAGGTATCCAAAAAGTCTTCTATCTACAAATAGATGAAGAAAAAGGAACTGGCATTTCTTTTAACCCAAACAGGGACTGAGATGGCCAAGTGGCACAATTCAAAGCAGGTATGCTCCCATTCCCTTGCAAGATTTTTATCCTTCAAATTAGAACGTTTCTAAAGGATGCAGTGAATTCTGCATTCCACTTCCTGGGCTCATTCACAGATCTTTATGATGTGTTTAAGCTATAAACCAAGAAATTCAAGGGAAAAAACCCCTCAGAAAACCACTCTAAAGTTCAAGGTGATGACATCAAACAGCCAGCGAGACTGACACTATCTATGGAAGACTATGGGATGACACAGAGGAGCAGTAAGGAACATGCAGCAATCCCACAGCCCTGGCCCTGCCCTCACCATGCTGCTGCGGCGGGGAGCACAAACGCAGCACCAGGAGGGGCAGGTGGGGCTTCAGCTGCTGGAGCAGCCCTGTGTCCCTGCTCTGCCACTTTATTCCACCCAGGGATAGGCCAGTGGGGCCTGGAACAAAAGCAACTCTGTTCCAGCTGTGGTCAGCAAAGCAGCTGCTACAGGCTGCAGCAGCTGTCTGCCATTAGAGCAGCTTTTACACTGGGTTAGATGGTGCTGGGAGCTCTCTCAGCTTGTGGCTGTCCAGTTCCCAGGACTGGGGAAAAGACAGTTTAAGCACTATATTTTCCTTCTCCTGTCACCAGCAGGAGCTCAGCGCAGCTGATGCTTGGCCAGGTGGATTTGCTCTGACACCGACCCTCCTCCCCCTTCCAGCATACTGCAAAAACTGCAATTTGCTATGGCCTTCAAAACTCTTAGCAGAAAGAAGAGGGGAACTCAAGACAAGGAGAGAGGAGCCAGTGACATCTGCGTGTTCTGCTCAAACAAGGGGGTTTGCCACACAACACCGTGAAACAAGAAATACGAATCTGCAAATGAGACAATACGTTGCCACACGATGGTCACACGATTCACCACAACAGCACACTAGTATCTCACCTCATCATCAATCATATCCAGGCTCTGAGTGAGGGAGCAACAAAGAAATGGGAAAGAAAAGCATTATAGAAACAAAATACAGAACGTGTAACAGCATGTAAAAGTTCAGGCAAGGGCAGCACTAAGATTTGCAAACAGATATGGCTACTCAAAATCAAAGGGACTTCCTTTAAAAAAAATTATTTCCAGAAGCAGAAAGGTTATGTTGAAAGCTCAGCACACACATGATTTGGCAGCTAAACCTGAGACTGTGTCAATGAACCCCCCTTGGAGTTCCTGGTCTTGACACCCTAGAACTGGTGGGAACCTTCCTGATGGCTCCAATTGCAAGAGCAAAAGCTTATTAATTAGAGGAGAACAACCTGCAAGAACTGAGTTCCCTCCCCACCCTTTCATTTTTTTCATCTCCTTCAAATAATCATGTCAGATCTGCCAGAGAAGCCCAAGCAAAGAACTGCTGGTAGTAATATGCTATGAAAGGCTGAAGAGCAATGCTGGTCTAATCCCCTGCCAGGGGGGTTGTGGAGGTTTCCACTGCAGCTCTTGCTGCACATGCTGCTCGACTTGGAGGCTGCAATTTGGCACTCAGCAGAGGATGGAGAAAACACATTCATTTTTAAGACCTGTTCAGGCTTGATATTTTAGAAGTGAGAGCGAGCTGAACAAGCAAAATGAAAGCATTTTCAAGCTTTTAATTCAACACCACTGGGAACAGGCCACTGTCACAATAAAATACATAATATAAGGGGAATGAAACATGGTAAGAGAATGAAATGTATTACCAAGACAGTATTAATACTAAATAAAGTGTAAATGATGACTTTGTTGTTTTCAGTAATTCAGAGAATATATAGATTTGTCTGCCCTCTCCTATGATTGTTATAAATTTTTGCCCTTTATTACCTGCAGTAAGTAACCTCTAAAGAATGGTTGGGTTTGTAGACTTGCATTTTGGCAAATGGGGCTGCATGGAACAGCACGCACTCTTCAAACCCATGCAAAGCATGCAGGAACTAACAGAACAAACCTAACTATCACACAAAAAAAAGACATAGATACTTGAAGTTCTTCCTCTGTAGAAAAAAACCCTGGCTCAAACCTCACATGAAAAATGTGAAGTTCTTACAGAGCGTTTGTAAAAGAACAAAGGCACAGGTTTCCTGACTCCGCAGGACACATTGTCAGCTACTGTCGAACTGTGCAACTTCACTGACAACTGAGTTACAAAATTAGTATCTTAAGAAAAGTATTTTCAATATATTATATTCAGCTCAATTATGTCACCAATTTACAGGGTTAGGAATGCTTTTTCACATTATCATTGTTTGAAAAAACTTTGGTTTGAAGTAACTGAATTCAAATCCACTGTGCAAAGCAAGCACAAAGAATGTAAAGTGGATTAACACATATGCGTTCTAATCAATATACATACATTCAGGTACAGTAACACACAATTACTGCATGTACAGGTCATCGTTATTTTAATGTATCAGGTTAAAAATTAGTCTAGGTGAAGGTGCCTTACACCTCAACTATATTTACCAAACTATACTGTATCTTTATTGTCTCAAAATTGTCTCAATTATGTCTAGTTTAGTGTATGTGTATTTATAACTATGGGTTCACATATACATATTTAGAATGTAGGAAGAATGTATTGAAATCTGTGAGGTTATAGCATCTCTGAGGAAACCAACTGCACTCTACTTTCCTACAGTAATACCATAGGACCTTTATTTCAAGTCATTATTATATGAACAAGAAAAATCGTAATCTAGAAAACAAGATTAATTTTCTTCTCCCATTCAATTGCCTAAAAAATATCCCTTTATTATCTGAGTAATTATTAAGCCAAATGCCATGGGAGAATGAAAACAACTATTTCCCACCTTAAACAATTTCATCAGCATACCTCATCTGATGACAGTGCCAAGGAATGCGAGAAACCTGGGGTTTTAGGTTCTGCTCCTAAACCGCTCAAATCAGCTGAACTTGTGCTGCTGGGACTGAAATCATCATTGAATGTGAAATTCTGTGGAGAAAAAGATAAGTCAGAATGAACAAATGATCTCACAGCGCAACTAAAAGGGAAATTTGCTTTGTCTTCCAGGTTGGCATAGTTCAGGAGTGATTTCAACCATTTACCAAACCAGTTACAATACACATGAGGAAGCCTAATTTTTAATATTGTTAACATTTATAGAATACACAGTATTTTTACCACTGTGTACTTCAAGAGACACCTTTGCCAGCTTAATGCCTCAATGAATAGCAAAGGAGCCTGAAAGCAATTTCCGGACTCCCTCTTAAGATGCTGGCTCTCATCCTGGAGCTAAATTACTGCTTCCGCGGGTTAATCACTAGCATTTTACTGTCCTCCAAATATTTAGGACAAGCGTAGCACAGGCAGTAGCACAAAGAATAGGACAGAGGATTAATTAGCAGAAAGAAGTGAAAACTGCTATTGAAAGAGCAAGGAGAATATCCTGTGAATCCACTTCTGAGTCCCAAATAATATCCTAGAAAAGTGAAAGGATCCTCCCTCTTTGCCTATACCTTTAGAAAAAACTGAAATTGAAAGCAAGAGAGATCTCTGGATACTGAATGTTATTTACTGAACTAATAACCATAAAACAAACCCTGTTTTTTCTTAAGAATGCAATGACAGACATCACACCTTATAGCAAAGAATAGTAAAAGCATGCATATATTTTTCAGGAATACAGCAAAATTACCATCAGAAGAACACAAAAATTAACAAGTATTTCACATTAGAATGAGAACCATAAAAACCCAAAATCTATAAAAAATTAAGGACACCATGATATTCCAATTAACTTGAACAAATAGTTGATGATATGGAGACCTCTAATCTCTACTCTAACATCTAAATGAATATCAAATTCAATTCACCTTTGATATTCAATTTAAAAAAACGGATCCAAACATCAAAACCCCAAACAACACTAGAAAAGTTATCCTTTTATTCCCTCAAAAGATATTTGGCCTATCTTTCCTGAAAACAAGAAAACTTCCCAAAATATCAAGTGTTGATCCTCTTAGTTTTGCTGGAAATGCAACTAAATATTGGTATCCCATGTTGCTTTAAAAACCTGAATAGCAGTATAGAAACTCTGAAATTATCAGAGCTTGCAAACTTTACAGAGAACATCAAAATGGTTTTGTGATCAGTTTTCTCACATCTACATTTAGAATTCGTGTTCTGTTTTCCCAACTCTTTACAGAGGAGAAGAAAATCCCAGTAGCTTCCTTAACATGCAAACTTTTAGCCCCCACAGTGTTCTTAGGCCAGGAGTTCAACAGCTCTACCTCCTGTTGTGTGAAGAACATCTTTTTCTTTTTTAAGTACTCTGATTTTTCTTTCACTTCTATTTTCTGCAAGCTTCAGCCTTATGATTAATTTAAGTCTTTAAAATTTAATTTTCTATAGGAAAAACACAAGATAGCCAAAGCCTGCTAATGATTATGATAGCAGGACAACCCCCTCCCCACAAAAAAACCTCAACCTAATACTAACTGTAAAAGGGGGTGTAGTTTTCTCCATTTGAAAATTATTTCTATACAATGTCTGTTTAAAGGCACAAATAGGATTTACATGTCTAATCCTCATCTTTCTTTTTCAAAAGAAACAGGATAACTGATTAGTTTCTCTTTAATCTTCAGAGATTTCACCTGAGGTCTTCTCTATGAATCTGATTTGGACTGGTCAGCCTTGTGTTGCTCTCCCTACCTGGTAACACAAGCACAGCTATGACCTTGCACAGCTTGATGCACAGAAGTAAGGTATCACCGGCTTTTGGCACCAAAAGAGTAAGAAATGCCTATGGAAACTGCTATTTTATACATGCATGTGTTTGTAGAAGACAGAGAAATTAGATTTCTGATTCATATTCCTGTACATGAAGTTGAGAACTGCATCTGTTTGTTTTTACCAGATCAATACAAAAAGTCAACTGCTACAAGTTATAAGAAGATACAGGCAGAGAAATATTTTCCAGAAGTGAAAATAAACATGAAAAAGTTAAGTATCTTACTATAATTAAGGGTTATTTAAGGAGTTATCATGCCGAAACATTCATGCACATAGAAAGGAATCACACAGATATATTAAATTGTAATAGTTCGTATTTACAGTTCAAGCATCTTCATATAGAGAATTAAATCCAACATCCAGCATGCATGACAAACAGATTTCATTACTGGGGGAAAAAAGGCAGATGACTGATGGCATACAGCATTTCTTCACTTGCAAACACGTCATTTGAACATGGGTAGGTATTCCCACAATCAGTCCTGAAGAATGCAGAAGATATCTATAATTCAATACACAAATCTAGCATTTGTTCAGTGGATCCAAATGCTAATTTCCACTGGCACCACTTGCTTTTGTTACAGTACAGCACACCACAGTTAGTTTACTGAATTAATGTACATTAAGACAGAGTAAAAAGGTAGAATGTGGAACGGTAGATTGACAGAGATGTTCTGTTGAATGAACTTTTACTGTACAATGAACACCATGCACTGTTTATTGTAGTAGTCACATATTGGCCTGTTCTTTTTTCCAGAAACATGAAGCCAATTATGCCACTTAACACAGTGGGAATAAGGTAGTTTTTATTTTCTACCTTTGACCCTTTTTTAGCTGGACTTATATTTTCAGAGGAAGCTTCAGTTGAGCTGGTAGGCGATGGCAGGTTGCTGGAAGAATTGGATCCCTTGCCACTCTCTCCATACCATGTGAATGGTACACAGTGTGGGAGAGAATAGGATCGCTCTGCTAAAGATTTAGTGTTTGCTGATTTCTGCAGCGTCTCTCTGGCGGTCCTGTTTAAGAGAAAGGAGCAGGAGTATGTGTTAGGTTATAAAATAAGAGAAAACAAAGTGCTACAGAGGCAGTTAATTATAAAAAGGGTGACATTCCCTGTAACTGTGACTAAAGAACTGAGTGCCACGCAGCTGGCAGGGGCATGCCTGAAATCCCTCCTTCAGCAGAAGAAGAAAAAAGTGGGTTATTTTGATTCTTTTACTAATTCAAGCTCTCTTAGACAACATACACCCAGCAAACGGAGATAGATGCCAGCTGAAAATGCCTGTACACCTGCCATTTGGATGTGGACCAGCTATAGCCAAGAAGCTACATGTTGTGTCCGTGCATTTCTGAGCCCCAGTGGTATCTCAGCATGATTAAATGGATTAGACTCAGCACTGACCCAAGTGGGCTCTGGTTCCCAGAGAAGGTCTGGCTTGGATTTTGAGCTGAGGCAGAATGAATCAGGTGCATCTGTATCCATCTATGGAGATGTGCCTTTGATACAACAGCTAAATACTGATAAGAGTATTATTACCTTGATTTTAACGTTATTAGATATTCAAAATATTAATATAGAAAAAAGGAAAGAAACACCGGTGTGATATTATCCGCTTCTCTCTTTGTAGTAACAAAGATTGCAGTGGATAATGTGATCAAGGCAAAGGTAACAGTTATAAAATAAAATGCCTAAATTATTTGCTAAATATATCATGTCAACAGTACAGTTTGTAAATTAAAAATAACTATGCAAAGTGTCTGCCTCAAAGAACTTATGTATATGTCATATTCTCATATTATTTATATCAACACATATATTACTGTTTCAGAGCATTAAACTTCTACTGCACACATGTAAATCTCCCCTCAACTTGTATCTTCTGGACAGCTTCTAAATCATTATTAACATAATCACTAGAGCTTCGTATATTGTGAAGCTTCTTTACTGTATGGATGCTGATCCTCTAACCTTGCTTGAAAGCAGAAAGAAAAAACAAACGATGTTGCCCGAATCACCTAGCTTCAGGCAGGGGAATACATGCTTTTTACTTAAATGGGCAATTTTTTATATGTAAGATTAGTGGTAGTCTTTGGAAATAATTCAGGATTTTATTTACACATCCTGAGTGCTATTTTTTTGGTAACAGCAAAATAATGCATGCAACATCCATCTGATAGTGTGTTAATTCTGTATCAATCAGTTGCTGTAATGGGCATAACTATAACAGGATGCTGTCTTTTGATCATCACCTTCCTTCATTCAAAGAGCTTATACAGCTTTGGACTATAGAGAAAACATCCCCATGTTTCTTCTGAGGCAAATTCTTTGGAGTTAGTAACAAAGGAAGTGGCAATAGGTGTTTAAAAAGTTATACTGAAATAATAACATTCCAGTATACAAAGGCCCAGTGAAAATTACAAATGCTTGTGAATTTTGACTTTGAGAGCAGTATTAAACTTTGCTTTTAGTAAGTTTATCCAAACTCAGAAATATTAACAAAAAATGCAGATAACTGATTTATCAAATGGTCTAATAAGCAACTGATCTCTCTACGCCGAGATCTGCTTTCTCTAAGGAACATACCTATGGGATCTCACAAACATCTGTAACATACTATGTCGATACAAGGAACACATCAAGTTCTTACAAACAAATATACATTCATTTCCCCCACCCTGTGGCTGCCTTACAGCTACACAGAGGTGCAGAGAATATGCTTTAACAAATCTCTCTCTGTCACTAGGGAAATCCAGCAGTGGGTATCACTAACTCCAGGTCACACTGCAAGCAGACACACCAGTGGAACCAACTGGAACAGGTTTGCTGATACCAGCCCAGAGGTGACAACTGCTGCCTAAGATCACTGAAGGTCCTGCCAGATATTTGCACAAATGGGCGCTGCACCAGAATATTGCACTTCAGTACAGTGTGCCGGAGGGACTAAGTCAGAAGTCTAAGGTTTCTTTTGCTTTTCTGATTTTACGGAGCTAGACAATATACTTGTCACTGGGTCTCCATACATGAGGCTGTCAGCAAAACTCCACAAATGGCTACATACTGGTTTTCCACCACAATGATTTTCTGAGTAGCATTCAAAGTTTGCTTTCTTCCGATAACTCTTTTATCACATAGGTTTTCTTTTGCATTATTTTATGTGCTGAGTTTCTGAGTTGCTATGTCCTTTCTAGACTTTTGGAACACATTAAGTTTCCTTAGCACTCCTAACATTAACTTGTCTTTCATACCTGGAACTAGGTATCACTGCCTGTAGGTGTAATTTTGTCAGAATCATCAGTACATGAGGAGAGATCTTCAGTAAAAATCTACACTAGCATTTGCAGAGAAGATTGCATCCTGCCATTCTGAACATTCATTTATTTATTCAGAGTCCAGATGCTGGTGATGCAGTTTCATCAGATCTCACAAGGAATTCACAGTTCCTTCCCTGAGAGTTGGTGATGTGACAAATTCAGTCAGCATTTTTCCCATCTATTTTCAACTTGCGACGTTCACCTTTCAAACCCTTCTGAAAGCATTCCCAATGCGGGTGCTGTGAAGCTGCAGTGAACAGCTGCTGCCCATCCTCGCTCTGGGTTTTTTTTCAGAAAAATATGTGGAATTGTGTCAAGATTTCTGGTTCGTGGGCATTATTAACCGACTGTGTGCGCATCTTCTAGGCCAGTTCTGGTAACCTATTTCTGCAAATCCCATTAGTGGATGCGACATAGTAGTGATGCCATGATATTACAAGTCTCCAAGTATTTTTAGGTTGTATGTTAGTCTTTCATTAGTTAAGAAATCTAGGTCTGTAAGCTCAGAAGGTTATGTCAAAGCTTAACACTTATGTATATGAAGTCAGTGGGACTGTTAATCATCTGCTAGGATGATTAGGTTTTTCCAACGTTTCTGGCATACCATTTCTTGCAACCTCAATCTTTTACCCATACCTACTGCCATAGGTCACCCTAATAGCTTCTTTCTCTTTCCGCTTCTTGCCCTTGTTTGAACTCCTTCTCAAGGGAGCCCTACAAGAATATTAGAAAACATCAGGAAACATCTTTGAAATTTTACTTTCAATCCTTTTAATGAAAAAAAAAAAAGTATTTTAAATGCAAAATGCTTACCCAAGATCTGCAAGTTTTCGCTTTAGTTTTTCTGTATGCCCTATAGTAGGACTGGTTGCTCTTGCTGCCTGAGCACATGTGGCACCATCTAGGATACATTTGTACACGGAAGAATGGACATTATTATTTTTAATTGCTACTGATAGCTATTCCACTTTCCATCCAGAACAATTTCTGTATCTTTTCATAATTAGCTATGCATACACACACAGGTGTGTGAGTACACAATTTAATCAGCTGAATTCTTCTCATTTTTAAGAAGATGGTGTGAAGAGAAATAAAAATAAATAAATACTTTCAGAATTTGAAAATACACATGAAGAAATCTTATTTTAATTGAAGAAAATGAAAAGTTAATTTTGGTTGAGTTTTAATGAATGTGTAGTATGTCAAACAACACAAAAGATTTAAAGGTAAACATTACAGTGAATCAATTTTTAAAGTCAGCAGTAGCCACTTAAGTTTCCTTTTACAGATTTCATTTGGTATGTACGCTTTACTTCCAAAATGAGTCCTGAAAAACTTTCTTGAACTTTGGAGCCAAGGGTACCTTTTATGATGGATATGCTAGGTAATTGTTATCTGTTTAGCTTGAACACCTTTGTTAAAATAAACATTTAACTTGAAATCCAACCATTCTGAATTAAAAAAAAATAATTAAAAGTAGCTTAGTTAATAAATTTGCCCTGAGACGTCTACCAATTTTTGATCTATTCTACAAACACTGTTAAAGCCTAAGGAGGAAACAGCCTACAGACCTATAAAGCCAAAACAATGAATCTGAGTCTGCAAAACATCCTGTGAAATCTATACAGAAGTTAAACAGAAAACACAGAGCAGTTGAAAAATTCAGACATGGTTTCAGTGATTCTTAAACATAAAGAGTGTCCCCAAATATTCTAGAGGAAGCAGATGAAGGTCACTCATTCATGCCACTTGCGGTTTGGTGACTTTTACAATGTGACCTCAGATGTACAGTGACTTTTAACTGAAAGCACTGTTGGGTTTTTGGATTTCTCTGCTGTAGCTGACATGAATTAAGCTCTCAGAATTAACCTAAAATACCACAGCACTATCACAGTACAGTCAACTGCATGTACAGAACTTTGTACATCACTTTGTGGATAATATTGGCCAAGTTTTCATTCAAGTAAAAAATTCAATGCGCAACTGCTTCGAAAATCCTGGGGAAAGCAGGAAAATAAGTCTCTTGCAATACCCGCAGTCTAAAAGCCATACTATTTCTACCAACGCAAGTCCTTATGTGAAAAAAAAAACCTTCAAGAACAACTGACAAGTAACGTCATGGCAAAAAAAGCAAATAAAAAAACCATAGTATGAAGAATGGCAAAAACAAGGCAAAGTCTCCTGAGAAGAAAACCTTTCCCCAGGGAATCTGAGGAGAACCGTAGGCAATATACGCTTTGCCTCAGCCCTACACGGTACACACTACTCTCCTCTCTCCTCTTAGCATTCCTCTTTCACCTTTAATGCATACTTCTTATTTAACCACTGTCAAAATTGCCACTTCCAAGAATAAAAGCTGTAATGTTTATTTTCACACTAGCTATCCACAGGCAAGTGGGGCTTGGGGGCCAAGAGGCAGTGGGCTTTTTTGAGAAACTTCTTAAAGAAAATAAATGAAACTATAAGGTACACTGCTGTTGTGGTGGGCAAATAACGAAAGTATTTAGTAGTTGGAGGTTTTGCTGCTGGAGTAGAACAAATAATGTGCTCAGCAGGGACACGTAGCAGCTACGTGGTATGGCCAATTTCTGTTTGGGCTCTTGTATCACAATGCTCCCACTCACATGCAGCTTGGCCCAGCCAGGGCATTTGGAATCATGATGATTTGCTGGGGAAAACATTCATGCTGGCTATGGGATACAGTGGAAGATGGATCGGCTAGGTCTCAAAACAAGCCTCAGTGGCAGAGCAGATTTGAATCTACAGGGTCTTGCACACATGGAGGTACACAGTGCTTGGCACATGGCAGTGGCCACGAGCCAGGGCTGCAGGTGCCCTGCCTGGGGGCAGGAAGGGACTTTGACCACCCAGGATGGGTGCATCTTCCCTGACTCCTTGTAGTTCTTCAGAGAGAGTGAGGGAGAGCCAGTTCCTCAGAATAAATCACACAGAAGATGTTTAATCCATCACTTTCAGACTCCATGAGCTGGTGTAAGTAATCTGTGGCCGATGGATGTGAAAGGAGACTAGACCCAACTTTATTCCCCAAGATCCCAAACCAGTTGCAGCCAACCTCACATCAGCAGAGTATTGCCCATAAGGGTCACCTCGGCTGCCTCGTCAAAGGATGCTGTTGCACAAAACAGGCAGAACTGAAGAAAATAAATTAATCATACACATACATGAAAAAGTTGAGCTTAAAAGATGAACAAGCAACATTCCTCATCATTTTGCAATGAAACTGATCTCATGCCACTTCAGCTCTTCCCACAACACTGTAGGATCTCTTAAGAAAAAAAAAAAAAGACAAGTGTGAGCTTGCTAATGCTCACTTTTGCTAATGAGAGATTAATTGACACACACGTGTCCACAGATGTGCTCTTCTTCCACCTCTAAGAAAACCCTACCTGAACACACAGAACAAGTATTTCTTTTCCAATCTGTAACAGTTTGACAGTCAAATTAATAATCAATTAAAATTGTATTGCCACAATACTTGTTGCCAAACAACTGCTTTAGGACATTTCTTTTTTGTAGGAATTATTAAATGCGAATTTTCCATTTGAAACTAAATTAATTTTCATGTACTCCTCAGAATCTGGATACACCCGAAAGCACTGGTTGTTTACTTAACAGTCACAGTGGGGAAAGCATAACACCAATATTTAGACAGAGATTATTTTTCAAACCTAAACTGTAAAGAGTGACACAGTAGGTGGAATATAATACCCTGTTCCTTACACTACAAGGCTAGTCTCCACTGAATTTTTATCAAGGTGTTTTTCATACATCAATTGGAAATGCAGGATTTACAACTTCACTGATAAACCAATCATTCACTCAAGCTGAAGTATGAGTTTGGAAAGCCACATTCTTATGTTCACACCCTTATGTTTATTTCCAAAACTCAAATACTGAATTTAACTTTGATTCCTTAACAATTATACAATTAGAAACTATACAGTTAGACTACCTATTTCAGAGCCCACATAAAAATGCTAGCATATATTAACCTATGCTAAATTCAACAATACTTCATAAATCTGTCTCTTAGGAATCTGTGTGAAAGCGCTGTATGAAGATGAAGAAAAAATAGCTTGTAAATCAGTAGCAAGTCTTTTCAGATACACAGGCAAAAAAAATCCTCAACAAATTGTTCTTTTTAGTTAATTTAAGTAAACCAAAGTCTGTTATGAACCTATCCAGACCTATTCCTGCAGTCCTCACTTACAAACAATTTTTATCATGTATTTCAGCTTATGTTACAGTTTTAAGAGAATGCAAAGTGCACAGCTAAGAATGTTTAAGTTGTGCAAAATGCTAATTTTGACTTCACAAGGCATCTGAAAAGGACGGCTCAATATTCTGTGCCATTGTATTGTTAATGTGTTTAATAAACTGGTATCTGAGAAATGTACCTGATTTAGGTATGACTACATCATGTTTTATCCAGATTACATTTAAAGAATATGAATTAAATAAATAACAATGTGGCCAACCTCCCCAACAAATTACTTGATTTTTTTTTTGTTGTAAATGAAGAGTCTCTTGTTTAATCTGGACTATGCTGCCTCTCAGCAATTAAAAGCTACAATCTGTTATTCTTGCTTTACACTCCTTTCCCCACCCTCCAAAAAAATCATCTAGCAGTGCCAAAATCACATAATTCGAGTAAGTACACTGTGTTAAGCATGTTTCTAATACAGAAATGTCCCATGGTCCAATAATTTTGTTTTTTTTTTTAAATCAAAATACAAGATTTTCTTAAAGGCAACTTCCTCCTAGTTTTTTCAGTGAGTTCTAGGAAAGAATAAAACCAACAAAGGAAGCAGTTCCTGGTCTCATTTTAAATTCTGTCCCTTTCTTATACCATCATACAAGGTCATTTGTAATTTATTGGCTTCCAGGTACAGAAAAGAAGTTACAAGATGATGGCCTTCTAGTTGCTAAGGTCCTACTACACCCCAAAAGTTCATAAAGTAGATGCAAGTGAGCAAAATGATGCATCAATTTATTGTAAAAAATAGTAATACCTTTATCCTGTAAAATATTCCTGCCAGCCGGGTGATGCAAAGGAGATGCTTCAGAGCTGTGCCCAGATTTTGACGGAGAGGAAAGTGGAGTGTCTCCCCGAGCATGCGGGGAAAGGACACCTCCTTTGTGGTACTGTTCTTCTTCTTGGTTTTCAGTTAGGTTGTCAAGTGAGATTGCTGCACTGCTAGCCACAGGGGAGAGGGAGGAAGCACCAGAATCTGATGCTGGTGAAGATGCTCTCATGCATAAGGGCAGTGGTGATTTTGAAATGTGCATGGGACTACTGTAACTGTTTGATGGCTGTTGGTATAAGAGATTATAAAGCAAGTTATACCATTTAGTAACCAATCAGAGCAAGGTTTACTTTGAACATGCAATTCTTTTATTCATTATTTAGCCTTCTATTTATAGGAAACACTTTAGCAATTCATGCCATTACCTTTTGATACCACACACAGTTTTGTTCATTGGTATTTGCTTTCAGATGGAAGTCAGAATAGGACTAAACGAGTGAATATCATATCAATTGTGTTAACAAATTAACAAATAGAGAAATGCACAATTCAAGTTCCTTTCACCTCCTGCATAAATGAAAGGACTCACTCTGCACACATAAATCAGAAAGCCCAGAATTCCTGTTAAAAAAAAACCACAACAAAACCAAAAAAACCAGGTGTGCTGACTCAAAGGAGACCAAACTCACATGTCACTCAAGGACCTTCATAGCATACTGGCCACAAAGGAATAAATACTGCCTGTGCTACAATGAAAGGACAAAGATAGAGGATGTAATGACTTACAGGGGCAGTCTAGCACTCCATAGGAAGCCTGAAAGAGAGGTTAGAGTCCTTCTCACCTTTCGTTCAAGGCTGTCCTCTCCATCAGTTGAACTGATGCTATCATACAGCCTTGTTCTAGAAGGCCTCTGCCGCTTGTTCTTCACTGAAAGTTGAGCTCGAGTCTTCAGAGCTTTGGAGTCCAGTCTCTCTGTTTCTGGCACTGCTTCATTAAAATCTGTATGGAAATATGATTTGAAGCTATTTAACAGAAGAATCTTTCACTACTTTTTCCTAAGATAGGATCTGCAATTGTGAGTTCCTGCACTTTGCATGTCTTACTTGTACCTGTATCTTCATAACTGTTAAAGTACACATGCAAAAAAAAAAAAGGTTATTTGCAAAAACCATTAAAAGTTTATCTATACTGCAAATATTTAAAAATTCAATAAACGATTCCCACTTTATGTGAAGGACCACACAAAACCAGTTGTACTAGTGTACATCTGGGGTTTGTACAGATGTTGTCTTCTACTATATGTACTTTAAAATAACAAAATGGAAAAAAAAACCCCCACAATATCTAGAGCAGTCCTCAGGCTGATCTACATTTTACCACAATCAGAATGGCTCGCAAATTTAAAGAATAAGATTTGTTCTCTCCTGTAGTGAATGTCCCCCCAAATAACCTTGTAAATACGTGCAAATTATGAGCAAGCAATGTCTGCGGTTAGTAGCACACAGAGAGTGGTACAAGTAGTATCCAACTAATCAGATAACCATTTGTGATTGAATTGCTTTGCAGGCAGCCGTTACAGGATTATGAAACAAGTGTTAAACTCATTCCTTTGGACTTACAGTGAAACAGGTTGCTTACTCTATCACACTATCCCTCTAAGGAGGGGTAAGCAGAGAGGAATCGCAATCCTCCTCTGGATTCTGAGGTCATCTGTTGTTCAAGGTTCTATGTGACAATACAAATAAGGTGCCCCAACTGTTCACCCCAACCCTTTTGCAAACAAAAGCACCTTTTTATTAGCACCTGCCAATCTCATTTGTTACTTCCTCCCTTGTTGCACTGTCCTTAGAACCATTCTCTCCTTTGGTAGATTCTTCTCTCTTATTCAGAGTTCCTTCAAACTCTTAAAATTTACATAAATGCAGGTAAACTTAAGTAAAACATCTCTGTCAGCACCAACCATCATGGTCCCTCCTACAGACTGATATGAGTGACCTAACACAAACACAGCCTTGCCTCATTTGCACTTGGATCACATCAGAAGACACTCTGCCAAGCCCCTTTCCTTAAGCAGGAGTCTAGAGGATGTGATCATTACTGTGATTATCACCATCTACTGCAGTTGTCTGGTCTCAGCTTTCCAACAGCAACACATTTTGGCAAAATCATTAGCAAGGTAGTGTTACAGCTTTGCAGGAAGAACCCGCGAGTGCTGAAATAAATTTTCACTGCAACCAGTTGTCAGTGATGTTGCATAAAGCTTATCATGACAGTGAAAATGAAAGGAAATTAATCCATCCAGAAGGTCTATGAAAGGCACCCTGAATGACAGCTGTTCAAGGCAGGAATGGGAAGGCCATGATCTGTACAAAAGCCAAGGGACTCTGGTTCTCCCCAATTAGAAAAACGACTATATTGTGTGGAGCAGGACACGGGACTGTTAGATCTGTATTTATCCTGATCTAATAGCTCAAAAACTGTCTGAGAGATTTGCAGTAAGGCAGCAGTAATTATCCCAACAAAACCCAACAAAGAGTCACCAGAAGATGTGGGTGAAAGCTGGGAGATGTACTCTACTCACCCACTTCTTAACTGTACGAAGTTGCTGTATTTTCTGAATATCTGGGGTTTGTACAGATGTTGTCTTCTACTATATGTACTTTAAAATAACAAAACAGAAAAAACCCCAAAACTCCAATGCTGTATTATTTTCATATATCATCAGAAAAGAGCTGGACACAGTCACTCATGCTTATGCACTGTTGCCTTTTTATGTGTAACTTTCTGCTGGAAAAATAATGAAAACCCATTTCTTTGGTTTTGAAGGGAAAGCAGTTTCAGATCTTTCCCCTTTCAAATACTGCCCAAATACCATTATGAGATAGATGAAAACTGGAGAAATATTTCATATTAAAAAATGGAACAAGGAAACCATCTTACCTGCCAAGGTTCAAAGCCACCCTATTCTTGAACGTCTCATGAGCAAAGTGTACTAAACACTTCTTATCTGGCTGGCTTCTACAAATAGAGCCAACATAACTGCACTTTTCTTAGCTATCAATCATTCACTTAAGTGAAATCTGAGTATTTCAGCAAATTTAACATTTTACAAAGCTGCAGTAACACAAAATACATTTTAAAATGTGTTTTCGTATTTTATACCAGACAAGGAGTACAGGCTTTACGGTTTTAACTTTTTTTTTCTGCAGTCCTTAGAGTACAAATCAAACCAGAATCCGTTAAGTTTATTTACTTGTCTAAGTACTGGATTCATAACACACTAATTAATCAGAAGCTGATCTTACAGACTTTAAACAAATATAAACAGAGACATTTTAGCCTCACTGAAGCCAATGAAGAAACTTCGACCAACTTGAGCAAAGCTGAAATTTTTCTCATGGCTTTCCATGGCGCCCTGATCTTCACTCTCAGAGAATGTGATTTCACCAAGGGCAGAAGAGATTTAGTGATTTACCACCACCACCAAAATGGAGAGCTCTTGCTCTTCCTCCTGCTCTCACAAACCCTCGGCTCCGAGTTCCTCAGAATTTGGACTGCAGCTTGCTGATTCAAATGACTGACCCAGCAGAAACTATCCAATTTTAGTCTGACACTCTAACCTCTTGCCCTCTTGGTCAGCTTTCTGTTGTTTCAGTGAACCAGTGTGTGCAGAGAAGTGTGTAAGTGCCGGAACAGGGCAATGGAAGAGGCAGAACCAGGTGGCTGGACAAAGGCAGGGATGGCGTGGGGTCTCCCATTTCATCAGTAATGATCTGTCAGTTCAGCTCAAACTGTCTCAAAATCAGAGCCACAGGTTGAGTTAGTATGCCAGTAAATAACTGAGGGATAAGACTCATTCAAACTCAATTTTTATTTTTGCAGTTTTATGTTGTCCTAAAGCACTGCAAAGACTTCCAGTACCATGTTTTGATTTTATTCCTTGTGTAAGAGTTAATTCTACATTCAGATGACACTACAGAATCATTAGCACAGTCTGATTTGTAATTATGCTTCTGCCATAAGTACTCCATAGGATAATTGCACATTGTCATGACTTAAACTGCTTATATTTGTTCTTTCAGGTCTGCACACTTCCATACATCCCTTCCTTTCACTGCTGAAATTATGCAAACTATCGATACAGCAATGCAAATGATTATTCAAAGAAGTGGTCATTTGGCCTTGTTAAAGCAAAATACTATCTGGGCCTGGAGCTTACTGCAGGGCTGCTCGCACTCAATGGCAGCTTTCTGTTGTGCTGCAGGTACCTAACCGTGGTTCAGGCTACTCCAAAGAAAGCTCACACAGCATCAGCAGGGGCTTTCCTCCTTCCATACCACACCTGCATTTAAGCTGGGCTCTCATCCTCGGGTCATGTGGATATGGACCCGAGCCACAACCCATGGACAGACTTCCCGGCTTGCCCTCAGGCCTGCCTCACCACCATGAACTTGTCTGGGATCCCAGCTGACCCTGGTTTCCATCACTGGACCTGCCCTGCTCACCATGCTTGGGTGCAGTGGGACTGGGCTGCTGTCAGGTGGTCTCTGCCCCAGCCACACGTGCTGTCACCCTCAGTCCCAGCTCCCTCTCCTGCAGAGCCGCCAGCCCTTTCCCGGCTTGCCCTCAGGCCTGCCTCACCACCATGAACTTGTCTGGGATCCCAGCTGACCCTGGTTTCCATCACTGGACCTGCCCTGCTCACCATGCTTGGGTGCAGTGGGACTGGGCTGCTGTCAGGTGGTCTCTGCCCCAGCCACACGTGCTGTCACCCTCAGTCCCAGCTCCCTCTCCTGCAGAGCCGCCAGCCCTCGCTGCTCCCCACCACAGACACACACCTCACACATTTCTCTAGGAATCTTCCAACCCACCGGGGAGCCTGATAAATCTCTCACATAAAAGTCGTAACAGGTTTTATTTTGCTCTTGGAGATGATGTAATTAGACTTTCTTTCAGCAGGCATTCAACCACTTGACTCCAATGGGCTTCCATCTGAATTATTTCAGTACCACTGTGGAGTGGCAAAGAGCTCGCCTGCCCTCCTACTGTTTTTCCATTATACAGCCTGATAGATTTCAAAATCTCCTTCTGTGAACTGATGCAGCCCTGGGCATCCCAAGGCACCCAGAAAGTATAGCCGTCAAAGCAGCTTGAATGGGCATTTGCAGAGAGATGAGCAAATAACTGTCAAAGTCAGCATCATCACTGAACTGTTTAGATTTCAAAACATGGACTCCTTCCAGTAAATAGCTTGATTCTCTACTGCAGACATAGCTCATGGCCACTAAACTAGAAAGCTACAATGCACTTTTTCTGGACTTTTCTGAACTCTTAGAATAAATGATATATTTGTAAAAGAAACACAATACTCAGGCTTCTAGTATTCCCCAGCAAAGCAAACGAAGAACTCTGTGGGCCATAATGGTTTTGATTTTCTCATTCTAATTTCCACTGATGTTACTGGCAGCCCCTCAAACTCAGTATGAGGTTATGTTACAGCCTGAGGAGTCATGCAGTCTGGCACGATGCGAAACGCGGCCAGAGCACCTGCAGTGGCAGGGACAGCTATGCTTGTTTGTATGCAACCGTCAAGTCACATCCATTACTTCTTCCCAAATTTATTACCATGCAAGAATGTAATAAACACCTCAGATCACATTGAAGCAAAAAATATATTTAGTATCATTTTAATTAAAATATATATTTTTACATAACCTGATTTTTTGAGGGAAGATAGACCTGCAAACTTCAGAATAAAAATTATGGGAAGTGGCTGTGTACATGCAGTCCCACTCTACAAACCTAATGCTGAGGCTTGATAAAGAAGCGTGTGTTATACTTGCCAAACAAAGGCCAAAAAAGAGACTGGAAGCGCTTGCATGAATGTCACAAAGACAGCATGTACACCACGCTGCACCTGGAGGAACTCTGCTCACCTTCCAAAGACATCGTGGACATCTCCCCTGCCCTTTATAACTCCTCTGCAAACACCCATGGGTTGATTAGTAAATACACTAATTATTAGTGGTTAGTATCATTAGACAATGGCAAGTCCTTTCTTAAAAAGGTTTAAAGAAGGTTGATATGGAGACATAGGGTCTTTGCAGAGCAAGTATCACTACATTACAGTCTCATATGGATTTCAGAGACTCTGATAGAGAATTTACTGGAAAAGGTATATGGAAGTCAAAAAGTGCTATCGTATGTTTAGGGATCTCTTTATCTAAAAAAAGAGCTTTTCTTTTTCTCTTGTTAAAAACACAAATCCAGCCTGGAATCTAAGGTCTAACTATGCTTTTTCTGTTTTCAAAAAATCACTGCTGATTGTCTATTTTTCCTAGCAAATAATTTGTGTTTGCATTCAGGTGGTTAAACTTGGGCATTTAAATTCACAGATCATCTATTCTAACTCTCAGAAGTACTAAACACTGGCAACGTTTCTCCAGGGGGATGTTTTTGCAATGAGAAACAGCAGTTCTTGGAAAATGAAAGTTTTCATGCACATCTATCAATTGAAAAATATAATTTGAAAGTACTGGCACACAGAGTTTTAATGCTATACAAAGAATTTTCAAATTTCTAGAAATAATTTTTTACAGGATTTTTTTTTTTTTGGCATGTAGAAATTCCTGGATTTCAGCTCTTGAGCCATAGATGTGTGTTGACATTGTTACAACAGTAAGTATAAGCACGATTTTTGTCAGTCAGGTAAAGGAAACACACTTTCCTCTCCTGATGCAAACTACTGAAAGGGTTTCTGTTAACAGCGTTGCTAAGTATTAAATATTTTGTAACACTTACTGAGTCTCTATGGCAGAAATACCCACTTCTTGTCATCCCGAGTGCTTTTCTGAACTTCAGAGATTTCACTATAATACACACTTGCTAGAAAGAAACAGCTCTGTGAAGATTTGTGGAAACCAATTCCACAAGGTCTGCGCATCACCCAAATACTGTTTCAGCAGCACTAGCTCTTTTGTATACACATACTTTGTTAAAAATGTAATTCATATTGATTTGTTTGTAGAGCACTATTCAGTGTGGGTCCACACATGAAGTAACTGCTAAAATATCAATTTTAATAAAACATCTCTGTGATTGCCAGATATTAATTTATTTGGTAATGTAATGCATTTTTTTTTCACCAGAGAAATAAGTAATATTATAGTTTATTTAAAATGAAAACATATACAGGAACAGTCTGGTGCCCCTTGTCAGAATCCCAACACCTCTGACACCTGATTTCACAGATGTTACTAAATACACAGTAACTATTGCTCCTGCTCCAAGCAATTTGTTCCAAGGTTGTGGACCTAAAATTGGCTTTAATTCTGCATATACTTCAACAGTGAGGAGCCACATGCAATTACAAAACTTTAACTAAAGCTGTGGAAGTTATCTGTGTACTTTCACTGCACAGCCTGAAAAATGGGAATTTTGCAAATCTATGCAAAACAAGTAAAGGTTACAGTCACCCTGCTGACAGCATCTATCCAGATCTCAGTGTTGCCACAAATTGTTTTTGCTCTTTGGTAATGTAGAACAAAATCTTACAAGTCTTATGTTGTAAATCAGGCTGTGCTACAGCTGAATGAGATTTTTAATTAATGTGCTAGTAAAGAATTTGCATTGTATTCACAAAAGGCTCCATCCTGAGAGATGGTGAGAGCCACCTACATGGTTCTTTTTCATGTCTGTATCAAGGTGGGATCAGAACCTGCAGATATCCATTCAAAATGGTAGATTTAACATTGCTTTTCTTATTCTGATAACTTTGTTCTGGTTTTATCTTTGGTGGTTGGGTAATTAAGGACAGATTTAGAAACACAGAAGAAAACATAATTTTCTCCTACTTTATTAATATAACAGAAGCATCAAATTAAACCTAAATGTTGATGGCATCCCACTGAAATCTTTAAGAAATCAATAATGATCTTTGCTTTCTTAGCACTTAGTCACTTCCATTTCTTCAAGAATATACATTGTACAGCTATTCTGGGACTTCATATTGGCATTATTTGGTATAACTCTGACACAGCTGTCATTAAATACTGAATTTTGGAAGAATAACAACATCCTCACATTATTAATTATTTCTTTTAAATCCTAAATGATAACCATGCTATTTACAGACATACCAATAGGAATTATGGTTTGGTTCAAACAAACCTTGACTTAAGCCATCCAGGCAGGACACTTGCTTAGTATCTAGATTTTCCACTGGATCTCCTCTAGAAACTTCTCCAAAAGATGTCTGCCTTTCAAAAATGTTGTTGTTATTGTTAACTTGGCTCCCATTTTGTTTCATTAGCCTGAAAACTTCTGCTTCCAAGTCTCGTATCTGAAAGAAATACAACACAGTGTTACTCATAACACACATACACATCTATTAGATACGGGTTTTTTCCAGAGTATCAGACAGAATCATCTCATTCTTCAAGTATGAGAGTAAATAGTACTCACACGAGCTTGTAAGCCTTGAACCTCTGCACGGTGTGCTTTCTCCAAATCTTCTATTTTCTTTCGTTCAGCTTCCTGGCGTTTGATGAAGTCAAGTTCTCTTAGAGAAAAAAAGGCGTATTTGCTGTCATCAAAGCAATCAGATTCAAACAGAAAACAAAATGTTCTGATATATCTTAAGCTACGCATCAGAAAAATCTGCCCTTAATAAATAATTACTAACCTAGTAAGAAGTATGAAAATGCAATTAGGACAAAACCCTAAACAATTGTTTAGTCTAAGTCAATGTGCCAGGTGAAGATATAAAAATGGTAAGAGGAATTTATCTGGAAAAAAACCCCTCAGTTGTTAATTGATAATCAAAACAGTTAAACTAATTTTTTTGTAATCTGTATTTACAACGAAAACAATGTTAGCTTAGTTTATGCTATGTTCTGTTGTAGGAAATGGAGCAAATCTCTGTTTTACTAGAGTATGACTGCATTCCTTCACAGAAAGGACATCCGTAAGTTTTCAGGTACAAATCTAATTTTCTAGTAAGCTATAATGAAATCTCCTAGGTGATTTTAGTAGTCTGAGATAGTTAAAAATAACTGACCAGATCTTTTACTAACATAAAGCAGAATAACAACAGAAAGGTTATCCAAGTTTATTCTAGCTATTTTCCCTATTTCTTTTTATTTTTAAAATCTAAGATGTTTTTGATAGAAAGCACACAAGATGCCAGCTAGTTCTGGAACAGTCACAAAATACCAAGATAGGTAATGACATTTTGATTATCTAATCCCCTTTTTAATGGGACAGGATATTCACTTCTGCACTCCCAGTTTTCACTTGACATTGCTGTATGTTTTTGAGTTTTCTTCTTTAAATGAGTATATTTCAGCCGAAAATGAAAAAGTTTCTGCAAAAAAAGAAATTTGGGGGAATAGAAGCTGTTATAGAAACATAAGATGTTATTATTCTTGCTAGCCATCAGGGAGAGGGGACCACATGAAACAGAGGGGGTTGGATAATCATCAGTTAGCTCAACCCAGCTCAAGCATTCTTGGTATCTACGAGAAGAAGAAAAATAAAATGTAAAATGTAACAAAACTCTTTTCTTTTTGATGTTACATTAGTACACAACAGGAGAGAATCCAGCTGACACAATACCAATATAAATCGCTGCAAACCTTACTGATCAAATGCTTTACTATGATTACTCTTCGTTGTTTGCAATCACATTGAGTTACCTACTAATTCTGAAACATTCCAACCTGGAATACTATAGACTAAGTCTCTATTGTTATAGTATTACTTCTCAACAATATTAAACTAATACTTGAATACTACTAACATTTTTCCATAGTAAAGAGCCCGTGTTTTTCATGAAAAAAAAAGTGAAAAACAGTGTTTACCTTACAGGTGTTTAATAGTGGGTTTCATATTTCAAAATATATCACCTATATGTTTCCTATCTGGCCACTAAGTCATTTGCCGAGCCTGGCATAGCTGCTTACTTTTGCTGAAAATCCTTGATTAATTTCTTTGCCTTGTTATATTTCTTCTCCAGAGCCTGATACTGGCTTTGCGTCTCCTTGAGGTGCTCATTCACTGTGTGACACAGGGTTTGTGCCTCAATCCAATAACTCTCTAATTTCATCATCCTTTCCTTATTCTCCTCAATGTTCTGCTGCAGTTGGGTCTTCTCCAATTCCCACCTCACCTTCTCATTCTCAGCAGCCTGCAGCTGAACAAAAGAGTGGTGATGCCAGTCAGTAAAAAGGTGTAAAGTGCAGTCTAATAATTTAGGATTAATTCAAACAACATGAACAGTGAAAACCAGCAAATTAATAGCTATAAAAGTAATATGCTAGCAGAGAAAAGAGCATTCAAAGACAAATAATGCAGGCTGACACATATATTATTCTTCCTCATAAAATGAAGTAGAACCTTTGCCCTGTGCAGCCAGTGCAGCCTCTGTGCTTCTCTGGGATATGCCAACATGCTTTAAAATGTCAATAGTGAAGTATTCAGGCAAACTGCAGGGTTAATCCGTCAGCACTGGGGACGTATTTTGCTCTACGCATGTGGCTCAGGTGTTACAAAGCATTCATACACTTTCATAAAACAATGAAATTTCTTATTTTGGGGGGAATCTGATTTCTAGATTCTCTATTTGATTTAGGAACAATTTAGAAAACAATAGGAAAAAAGCAAATTGCACCTAATCTATCTGCTTTTTTACCCAAATCAGAAATTCTACTGAATTCTTACAATGTCTGTTTTCATGTCACAATCTTGCTTAATCTATAAAGCCAAACAAAAGAGGCTGGAGCATAATTCAAAATTTAGCATTGGGTCATAACCTAGAATCTTTTTTCATTTAAGCAAGCACAGAGCTTTTCACCCAATACTGAAACTATGCCAGAACTATTACGAGGACGAAGAGAACCTGTTATAAATATATTACTCTTGTTTCCTTTAAACTTGCTTACCGAGTTGTAAGGAGCTAATATGAAAGGGAAAATATGCCCTTGCTGTTGAAGATTTCAGGTGCTAATTCTGCCAAACACATCAGCAGTACTGCTTAACTCTACGACCAGTGCAGTTCCACTGCTAGTTACACTGTTTGGCACTAAAGAAGCCCAATGACTTTTTCCAAGTGACCTCAAAGAAGTCTGAATTTTACTGCTGAATTTATAACTAACATTAGCTCCTTTGCTAGGTTGTTCGATTTTTTTTTTGTGTTAGGCTTCTCACTTCCCAAGTGAAGCTAGCTGCAGGTTTCAATGTTTGGTGCTTGATAAGGGTAGGGTTGTTCAGCAGCTTGTATATTTTGGCTCCCAGAGTTTACAGAAAACAAAAAATGCCTTAACATCCCTGCTTACTTATCAAGACTCTTTAATTTGCTCTAGGTAGTTCGCTAGCATCATGGATGATATACACACAAAGAAAATAACTTGTTTACAGTTTTATTAGTAATGTACCTAAACTAGCCACATTTTGTTCGGCTCTGTTGAAAACACTAGGTAAAGAAGTCCAACACAAAAGGCACATTAACCCTAATCTTGCAAATGGATTTACACAGATGAATGTTTACACCCACGCATCGTTGCCATCAAGTCAATGGGGCTCAGCACAATCCCAAGGGATTGACAGCGTGGTTCTGATTGCTAGATTGGAACTGGAATGCAGAGGAAGAAAAGATTTCTGACTTTCTGAACCGAAACAGTACAACAGAAATTGTACTAATAGAAAATAGTTGCACTTTGAATTTGTTTTTAACAATAATTTATGCAGATTTGATAAATACTATGCAAAGTACATGGTGAGTACAAATGTTGCCAGAAACTATAATCTAAAATCTTTTTCTGAAGTACAATTTTCTCTTTCTCTTCTTTTTATTTCCTTTATAATGTACTCCAACTCAAAAGGAAGGATGTCATTATAAAACCTAATATTACTCAACAGCTGAATTATTAGTTGACTTCCCATAACAGTTATCCTAGTACAAAAAAATACAATTCTTTTTTATTGCTATAGCAAATTCCACCTAATAACTAGCAACCAATTCTGAGATAATGTTTTCTGTTAAACTGGTAAGCCTTTTCCTTTCTGGAGTATCTTTTAACGAGAACTGCAACACTATGAAACAGCACTTTTTCTTCTGCATATAAAAATTTCTATGAAATACCTTTAAATAATTAGGGGGGGTTTAAATGTCAGAAAAAGGAAACTAGCATAAACAGGATACCTTAACATCACTGGTAAATAAAAAACCTACTAACTTAGACTTGAATATTCAATCCAAACATAATTTAAAAGCCTGAGAAAATGCATTAGAATTGTAAAACTAGAAATCTGCCATTTAGTCATTATGATATCCCTTAAAATGTATGTTTAATTGAAGCTTCACAAGTTGGCAGTTTCTCTTAACAGTAGTACTTAAGATTTCACTTGAAACTTTGAATAGAGATTATACACCAAGACAAGATTTAGCTGAGCCACTGTGCTTCTTAATCAGCCTTTAATAAGGATGTTGACTTCTCCACCCACATAAAGATACATGTCTTCAGATCTGATTTTGCATGAGAAGAAAAAAACATCGTCGTTTAACCATATATTGATTCTTACCTTCGTCTTCAGCTTCTGAATTTCAGCTTCTGTAACTGCATGTTTGATTTGCAACTAAAATTGAAAATATAAAATAAACAAGTGAAGTCACAGAGAGTACTCCAGTATTTTTAAAGCCTGTGCTGCAAGTTGAATACCTTATTACATAGCAGAAGGCCTTGAAGAGTGCTGCAGTGCAGTAGATTGTAAATTAAAATGTCTAGCTTGCAAAATGACTCAGTCTGTGCAACCTAATTAAAGATAGGATGCTGTCTAACCACTCATAATTTCAAATCAGAACATCCAATCTGTTTAGCAAAACCAAATGTCTTATGCTTAAAAAAAATAATAGATGTTATCCTGCTGGGCTTTGCTTTCCTCTGATGTGAACGTGAAATACGTCCCAGTGCTGTCAGAAAGTCCCACTGCATTGATTAATGCACGCACGTTACAAAAAAGCAAATATGGAAACAAGTGATTTAACAACTCAGGAAGTCAGGAAAACCTTCAGGGAAGATTTCACACATTTATTTCATGCAAAAGAAAAGGTAAACCAATGCTATCCTTCTCCACCATTCGCTGGAGTTACTCTGCTCAAGCTAGCTAATTTCAATTGAGAGCAGTTACACAGGGAAACTGTAAAAAACAGGAAATGGCATTCAAGCACACAAAATGATTGCAAGTAGATGAAGAGCCCAGGCAGTGTGCTAAAGGTTGTAGTTACATTACTAAGCAGTGTGCCACAGTAATAGTGGATCTGTACAGTGAAAGGGTCGGTGCTGAGGATCTGGCATCCACCTGCACACTGTCCAGGGGGATTTCTTTTGGGCTAACCTACAGTAGTCTGATCCTGTGGACTGAATACTTGTGAGCTCTTTGAGTGTATTAGGCAGTGTCCTGAAACACCTTTAGTTTCACCCCAAAGGTCCGCTATTCACAGGCTCCAAGAACACTCCAAAGTACGAATCGAACCACAACTTCAACAGCATAATCCTAATCCAAATGGAAATGATCATGCACTCAATACCAGTCTGCATCCAAATCCCTGCTGCTTTATTATTTAAAGCAGGCAGCACAGACAAACTTCTGACAGGCCCCCAAACCTTAAATCTAAAGGATATGAATCAGTAACTCGTGTGTGTTGGGTAAGGAGTTGAGGGCAAGGGCAAAACCTGAATTAGAGCCTGAGCTGGCACTGCAGTGAAGACAAAGCCTTCATCCATTATTTATGAATAACAGGAATAGTTACGGAAAAGCATGTTTTACATGGGGGTGATTTCTCTTACAAGACTAACGGGACCTTTTGGGAATAGTTTATGCTGAACTAATGGAGTACCTGAGGGAGTTGTACTGAACCAGAAATTATCATCTCTGGTGAAGCAATGCCTACATTCTTGAAGACCAGGTTGTTAGTAAAAAAACGTACAAATAATTCAAAAGAGAAGTTCTTCTGGAGGAGAGGAGTAATTTTCAAAATAATAGGAGTCATCACAGACCTGACTGGTACAAGCATCTCTAAGAAAGGCCGAGCTACTTTTGAAATTCCCTTTTCATGGAGCCTCTTGAATGCACTTCTTGTGGCATAGGAAACGCACACTCTCAGATGCAGTTCGGTTTGCAAATCAGTCTTAACTGATCTAGTGAATAAACCTAGTCCTTTCTGGTCGAGAATTACTGAATTTATGCTGGAAGGAATAAAGGAGACACTGATGCAACCAGTTCCACCTGAGGAACAGTTTAGGAATCTTCTTTCCAACGCTTATTTCTTGGTCACTGTCTCCAGAGGAGATTGTAAGCACTTCTAGTTCCCAAGATCATCTGTTACTTACACTCACTTTTTGACTTTGCACTGAAAAGCGTTACAAATTTTCAAGTGCTTAGTGGCAGCAGATATAAGATTTCATTTCAAATGAAACAAGTCACTGACTGCAACATCTTGTGGAAGCATGTAAAACGTGGAGGCACACCAGGCACACTAGCAGGTGGAACACTTGTGGGGCCAGACCGAACCTGTCCTGAGCACACAGCTAACCTGTGGATCACATGGGGTTCCTGAGGAGGTGCCACAGGAGAGCAGGGCTACTGGTCCAGGACGGAGAGATGCCAGTGCAGCTGGGAACAGGGCACTCGGCAACCCTGGAGCCGGTGTTAATGGCAAGAAGTGGTCAGTGGTGCTACTCCCTCCAGTAGACCAGGAAGCCGAGAAGGATATATACCTTTTTGTAATTATACATAGTTGAGGAAACTAAGGAGATACTTGAATTAGCATTTGCAAGGAGTTACTTGCAATTTTTGAGGTCAATCAATCCAACCTCTGATCTGCAATTTTCAGAGACTGAGAACTGTTTTTTCTCATCATTCCATTTCTGTTCGTAGTGAAAATTACAGAAGAATCATCTCAAAATGTTACGGTGTTTATAATGTGCCCAGGCCTTTGCTTAGTTCTGCTACCTCATTGTTTTGGAATGAGATAAAATCAGGGGAAGGATGGATGAGCTAGGCTTTGCCCTTTGCAGAGTTAATAATGAAATCAAAAAGCCAAGATTCAAAGCCTTAGGCTACCTGCTTACAGTCCATTCTCATTTCTTCTAAAACCCCACAAGCCCATAAGCAGCACTTAAACAACTTATTATTACATACAAATAAACACCAAATTGTTGCATAAATGACAATCTGCTCAGGTACAGATGGTTTTAACAGTTATTTTTATACTCTCTGTTAGTAAGTTTAAAAAATGAATACTGAGCACCCAGTCAGATCACTGAATCAGTACATGGTACAGCAGATCCCATTGAGGCAGAATTAAAAAAGACACTTTCCTGCCGAACAGACAAACGTGTAGCTAGACATCTACTTTTTTCTTTTTTTCTCTTTTTAAAGAACTAATCATGCTTGCAGAACAGATAGAGAAATACTAATTCATTTATACGTTAGACTGAACAACAGGCAAGGTCAACTGTTTGGCAAGCAAATCTAGACTCCATAGTTAAAAGTTTTTAAGCAATTTTACTAATAGGGGAGCAGAAATACCTTATTCCATGTCCCATATAATGCCAGATAAATTCTTGGGAGATATTATTTTGTATTTTTATGTTTTCTAAGTCAATATAAAACTTTGAAGGCTTCATTTTAACAAAGACATTTTGAATAATTTTTGGCACATTTCCTTTTCAAAGATGTCTTGGAAAGCTGATTAATTTCCCTCAAAACAATAACACTTTTTAGAAAAAATAAGATATATAGAGAAAATGGATCAAATTAATCTAAGACTGCAAAAGGTAGAATGAAATGAAAAGCTAGCAGATGTTAAAAGATCCAAAGTACACTGGGAAAGAAAGCAATCAATGGAATCTAATAATCTCCATGACAACTTTTATATAATATTTTTTGCATATTATAATAATCAATTTTCATATATTTCATTAACACATGAAATATAATCCCTAATTCTTATATAAAATGTCCCTTCTCCCTACAGATCTTGTCTCTCTTCAATCATCACAGCTAAAATAAAACTTCTAGCTCTTTCTCTAAAAGCAGTTAAGGAAAATCAGTCCCATTTTTCCTGTTTTACAGCCAGGAAAACAAGACTTGCAGAAGTACAGTGATTCACCCAAGAATGCCCATTTCTCTTCTGACTTTCATTCCAAAAGCAAGGCATTTCAAATAAGAGTGTTCTCAGAGTATGTGAGCACATTTTTCATTGCAAAGACTGAATTCAACTAATTAGGTCAAACTATTATGCTTAAAGATTATGTCCAACCCACTTGTTTAATACTTTCATTAATCTCTGGAGCAAGAACAAGAAAGAACAGTTATTCTTTAAATACAATTCCAGAAAACACTGTGTGGGCTTGTGCAGCGTGATCATGAACAAGTCCTCCAGTGTTGAAAGAATTCAGGGAGAATACCAAGAAAAATACATGTACTCTGTAGCAGCCAACAAAATGCAGCTGTGTACTATTAAATACAATCAGTGAAACAAAAGTGGCATGCTTGTAGCAGCGGTAACTGCGTGGGTTAGTGAAAAAGAGTCCACTCTTACACAGGAGCATTTAATGTTTTCTTCTCAGGCTCTCACCTGCACTTAAACTGGAGGATCTCAGTCCCTTCATCTGATCTCCCCCACACCAGTGTTCTGAGCCCATGACATCAGACAGGTCTGTAAATAGCTTCAAATCAGTTTGGTCATGCTAAAGTATGGCAATAGCCCAAGCTGATGGAAATCGTATTCAAGTGTAGTTTTACAAGTAATTTATTCAAAGGTGAGTGTCTTGCCCCTCACTGCATCTGTGGTTTGCATAGCCTTGCTACACTGGCACAATCAGAATGGCAGCATCTTCCCAAGCTTTAAGAAAGTATCACTATGTATGATGTAAAATATTAGAAAATTAAGTAAATTGTTCTGCTAATTTGCTAAGAGTCTGGAACTTGAAATATGGAGTGAGAAAATCATCATTTAAGTAAAGTAAAAAACTTTCAGGAAACAACGATGAATAACAGTAGGCATCCAAAGGCTGAAAAGGGTATCAACAGAAAAGGGAAAGACCGGTTGCGCATTGACTGATTACTTTCCATACATTACTCTCACTAGAGAGTAGTAACAACGTGTATCTACAGAAGATAAAATATCTGGTTTGAGTACAGGGAAGGGGAAGGGGAGAGGACAGGGGAAGAAGGATAAAAAGGGAATCTCTGTATTTTAAAACTCCTTTCTGGGTGTTCTGCTGCTCAAATTTCCCATGAGGTTCTGGCTCCTCTCACCCCTTCCATCTTCCTGTACTTAAAAAGAAAAACGTTCTTTATTGTCATCACTTAGCCCATAACTGTGGGCTTAGATAAGTCCAATTGTTTCATGTCTTTATTTGCATCAGAATTCAGGAAAGCTCAGAAATAAACATCAAAAGCACAGCCTAAAATACAGAAGAAATGTTTCTCAGTACTTTGGCATGTTAAGTTACATGAATTCAATGACCGCAATGAACAGCACTGATTCAAGCCCCAGTTAGTACCAGTGGATGCTATACAAACTCTGTAACCACAGAGTTTGGTAAAACACCAGCTTGAAATATGTTTGCTTCCTCAATATAGCATCTTTCTAAACACATGGCCAAACATATGACACTGCTGTACATTGACGAGTTGCTGCCTAATAGCATAGGATGAGCTCCACATGGCCCTTTTCACTGAAATTTAGCATTTGCTGTTTGGTTTTCCTCATCACCTTTGATTGGAAAAAGGCAGCAATCTGCTAGTAATGAATTAACTTGCACTTTGTCTTCCTGGTCAAAAAACGCAAGCTAACTGCTGAGGCAGAATAACTTCTGTACTGAAAACTTAAATTATAAATTACCCTCCATCAATGCAACAGTCACCTAAAAGCTGATGCTAAACCAACTCTGAAGAACAGTTGCACTTCTTTTAAGCAGAACTTTTTGAGTCATTCAAAAGTACCAAGTATACAAACAGCTATAAATCAAGTCTAGTTTTCAAGAGAAAAAAAAAACACTGAGCAATGAGATAACTAGAAATCTAATTCCAGTGAGATATTCCAGGAATATTTTCTGATCAATATCCTACCTCTTTGAATTTGTGAGCAAGCTTGCTGGTGTCTACATCACTGGGGGAGAACATGTCATCATTTTCAGGGAGATCGAACACTTCAATAGCCATGTCACCTCCTGGAAGGACAGGTCCCATGTCTTCATCTTCTTCATCTGTAGCATATTCCCCTGTCTTAATTTTATAACATTTAAGAAATTCCAGTTATCCTCTTATTAGGCAGAGACTGTTCAAAGATTAATTAAGCTACTGTGCAAACACAGCATAATGCATACAAAAAAGTTAATCTTTTTCTTATCTATAATCCCAGTATTTATGAATTTTACCAGACAAAATACAACTCCACAGTAGTATTTTAGTACATTAAGAGAGAGGAGAAAACAGTGTCTTAAGCACTAAGAATTTGTTGCTTAAGCACTATTGGCTCTGTATTTCAATGGTTTTCATCCTTTTCCAAGTGAGGCCTCTTTTCCATAGGAAGACCTCTCCAAATTGATCTCAGATTTAACAAGCAATCTTTTCCAAACAGAAATAAAGCAGAATAGGACTGACAGCATCTTGATTAGTCTTTTGTAAGCCATCTGGAGGAAGTAGTTCTCCAGTGATACTCCACGCTGAATTTGAAAATCCATTGGTTTGTTCTTTATAAACAAATTAATAATGGAAAAGTCACACCCACACAGAAAGGCAACAGCAGGAAAAAGCAACTGAGTGTCAGAGACAAGTTCAGAGCCTGAAGTTTACTGACTTTTCATCCTGAATCTGGAGCTGCTTCTAGCAAGTTTTAAATAGAAAATGCAGGTGTTTCTTGGGCTGGTAAACCATGAGATGTGAACAATTTGCTGACAAAACAGAATTTTAAAAAACCATATGCTACAATCTGCATCTCAAGATTAAACAAAACAAAACAATAATATTGAAAAGGAAAGGCTTGCAAATTAAACCCCAAGTTGCCTACACAACCTTTTGCACGTACACCTGTGCTCATCTCTCTCCATGCTGGGTACCACTTTGCTTCTGCAGGGCTCCCTCTAGAAGCGGGAATACATCCCATATGGATCACAAATAGCCTGCAATGACTATGCAAACATATTATAAACCAAACACTTCCCTCAGGGCCACATCTGGATTTATAAAGCTTAGGACTCAATAAATACATGGAAAAGGATGGGTGGGAGAAGGGTGCACTCCTTCTCATGTTTATATGGTAATAACACCAAAATGTTGACAGAACTACTCAGGTTTTTGTTCATGAGCTTTCAGTTCCTGAGATGAAGGCACACAATATTATTATCAGAAGTATATTCCCGGTAGTGCTAGGATTATCTATTAGTGTCATTTTCTGTCAAAAGAACTTTTCAAAACAACAGGTAAAAACGCAGATGTTCAAACAACAGTTCGAATCTCATGTTCCTATCTTAATTTAGTTTCCCAGCTGTTCTTTAGGCTTATGGAAATCTCTCTCAATTAAAAAGCAGTGCATGGAAGCACGTTAAGTCTAGGTGCACAAGTACACCCAGACAGAAAAGATGTATGGATGCATTCAACAACAGGGTAATATACTTGCAACAAAACATCACCATTTCTTGGATAAATAGCACACAGAAACATAGAATCACAGAATGGTTTGGGTTGGAAGGAAACTTTAAAGATAATGAAAAATCTATATTCTCCTTTTTTAAAACCACTAAAGTTTTAAAAAGCAGAGAAAGCCAAAACACACAGAGACCATAGAACGTTTTCGTAAAATCTTCTGATATTAAAAGAACTACCAAAAGTTGGTAAGTCATCAACATGCACAATCCATCCATACTTTAAATGTCACTGTTAATGCAAGCCACTTCTTAGGAGAGCGCTCTTTGCCTCTATAAATAGCTACATATTCTCCAATGAAATAAACAGTTGTGGAAGAGTGGCTGAATGAGAAGGGACATAACCTGATTGCGATGAACAATCCAGCTCTTGCAATAGGCCGCGAATAAAAGCCTTAGCTGCAGGCCTGAAAGTAACCCCGAACTCTCCTTGAATCCCCTAAGAAGCAGAAGCAGCAGAACAAAAGAAAAGATAAGAGGAGCTATCTCCGTGAGCAGGAGAGTGAACCGTGTTACTTCATGCTGTGTGAACACGAGCCGTGTACCAATTAAAAATAACTCGATCCACGTGGACATAAGTTGTAAACCAATCATAGATGTGTGGCTTAGTGCATGGCTTTCTGCTTGTCTATAAATATGCTGTAAAAACTTAAATAAAGGGAGAACGACCATACTCATATTGAGGCTACGTCGTTACTCGGGGCCCGACTCTCACTCCAACAAACAGTAACCATTTATTTTAAATACTTTATATGTACTAAGACTAAGAATCTCAGTAGTCTTCAACAAAAAAGTTAATAGCTGGTTTTGCTTCTTTTTTCCTTACTTGAAATAGAAGCAAAGAACACACAATCCATCTCACTGGAGTTTCCAGGCATGTTAGCATTACAGCTAAAAAAACCAACACCTGAAATCAAATTTACCATTCTCTATGTCTAGATCTCACATGCACACACAAAATCTTCTGTTATGCTACACCTCTAACAACTTCTGTTTCTATTTTACTCCCCACAGCTACACGCATTACTGCCTAAACAGAAAATGAGGCTGCTAACTCTCTTGGCTTTTCCAGGAGCATGTAACACCACCTTCACACACCATCAGGGCAGTGAGAAGCAGAACAACTATCTCTAAAATACCAGTGAGATTTCAATGAAATGAATTATTGTGGGGACAAAATACTAACACAACCCATGTACTGTCAATTTTGAAGTCATTATCCCTGAAAAATCTATAAGGTGATCCACAACTATCATTTCTACATGAAAAAAAATCTCAACAGGTCCATCAGCAGTGGCAAGGAAATCTCTGAAGCGTGCAAAGAGGAGGCAGAAATAGGATTGTTAACTAGCAAACTCATGCCCGGTTTACATAAAAAACCAGGTCTGGCTCAGCTGCACCTGCATTTTAAAGGAATATATTAATTTAATGCAAAATCCTAACTATATTTGCCAATTTTGGTAAAAGAATAAAACAGATGAGTTTAGTTAAAACTGATTCCTCCAAAGACTTAAACTAAAAAGAAGTACTTCATACAAAAATAAAAACGAACCCATATGAAGGACTAAGTTATACTGGGGAAAAATTCAAGTGCAGGAAATATTCTACTGGCCTCAGAAGCCACAGTGTCTGAAGAAGGACATCAGGCAGCTTAAAATGAACACAAAGGAAAATCTTCCTTCAAATTGTACATAATGAGTGTCAATGGGCACAGTCATTTTCCTTCAATTAATGCAAAAACTAGTCATCACAGCAAAGCACTGCCATTTCCTCAGGTAAACAAGACAGCAGGATGGCACAAACACATTACAGAACACAGAAAGAAATGGGAATTTTGTTTTTGTCTTCAAAAGAAAGTGATCTGATCTTATAATCACATGAAACATAAATTACAGGTTCAAAAAAATTGATGTGTGCATTATGGATATATATGTCATAAACTACATGAAACATACTTTCCCTGAAACAATTATATCTGCTGACTTTTGTTTCACATGAAACTACTAGAAGGTTATTCAGATCCTGCACCAGTAAGCTAGAACGGGAAATTCAGTGTTTTACAAGAAGCAGCAAGGCACAGACAAAAGTTATTTTACTTCAAAATAACAAAGCCTTGTTTATTGTAGCTGAATGAGGTCCATTGCAATATGTTTTGTTTTCTTGGCTGACAACAAAAACAGTAGTTTATTTACTCAATAGTCAATAGAAACTTACATGGTCTTGAAGGAAAATCTCAGGCTCTCCCGTCTGTATTGGTGAGCAAAATTCATCCATGCAAAAGACCTATTTCTCGTTTAAAAAGGGAAAAAAGGAAGACCTGGGGAACTACAGGCCAGTCAGTCTCATCTCTGTGCCCAGCAAGATCATGGAGCAGATCCTCCTGGAAACTATGCTAAGGCACATGGAAAATAAGGAGGTGATTGGTGACAGCCAACATGGCTTCACTAAGAGCAAATCGTGCCTAACAAATTTGGTGGCTTTCCGTGACAGGGTTACAGCGCTAGTGGATAAGAGAAGAGTAACTGACGTCATCTACCTAGACTTGTGCAAAGCATTTGATGCTGTCCCACACAACATCCTTGTCTCTCAATTGGAGAGGCATGGATTTGATCGTTGGATCACTCAGTGGATAAGGAATTGGCTGGATGGTCGCACTCAAAGAATTGTGGTCAACAGCTCAATGTCCAAATGGAGACTGGTGACGAGTGGTGTTCCTCAGGGGTTGGTATTGGGACCAGTGCCATTTAACATCTTTGTTGGCGACACGGACAGTGGGACTGAGTGCACCCTCAGCAAGTTTGCCAACGACAACAAGCTGTGTGCTGTGATTGACACGCTAGAGGGAAAGGATACCATCCAGAGGGACCGTGACAGGCTTGAGAGCTGGGCCTGTGCAATCCTCATGAAGTTCAACAAGGCCAAGTGCAAGGTCCTGCACATGGGTTGGGGCAATCCCAAGCACAAATACAGGCTGGGCGGAGAATGGATCGAGAGCAGCCCTGAGGAGAAGGACTTGGGGATGCCGGTTGATGAGAAGCTCAACATGACCTGGCAAGGTGCACTTGCAGCCCAGAAAGCCAACTGAACCCTGGGCTGCATCAAAAGCAGCATGACCAGTAGGTCAAGGGAGGGGATTCTCCTCCTCTACTCCGCTCTGGTGAGACCCCCCCTGAAGTACTGCCTTCAGCTCTGGGGCCCCCAACACAAGAAGGAGATGGACCTGTTGGAGCGAGTCCAGACAAGGGCCATGAAGATGATCAGAGGGATGGAGAACAACTCCTCTGAAGACAGGCTGAGAGAGGTGGCATTGTTCAGCCCGGAGAACAAGAGAACAGGGAGACCTTATAGCAGCCTTCCAGTACCTAAAGGGGGCCTATAAGAAAGCTGGGGAGGGACTTTTCACAAGGGCATGTAGTGATAGGACAAGGAGCAATGGCTTTAAACTGAAAGAGGGAAGATTAAGATTAGATATCAGCAAGAAATTCTTCACCATGAGGGTGGTGAGGCACTGGAACAGGTTGGCCAGAGAAGTTGTGGATGCCCCATCCCTGGAAGTGTTCAAGGTCAGGCTGGATGAGGCTTTGAGCAACCTGGTCTGGCGGAAGGTGTCCTTGCCCATGGCAGGGGGTTGGAAATTGATGATCTTTAAGGTCCCCTCCAACCAAACCATTCTATGATTCTATGATTTCACTAGCACCTAGGGTTTAAGCTTATCCTATCCATGGCAATAGCTTCTGATATTAGCCATTCAATTTTGCTGTTATGTTATCACAGCTAATAGCATGAAATTACAAACACGAACTGCAATTTCGCACTTTAAAAGGGAAAATGTGTTACTCACATTATTTAACTGCCTTGTAAATTCCTGAAATGGGCCTAACACTCCCAAGCAGAAAGAAGGAGCAGCAGCACTGGCCAGGATAATGCAGACAGACCTTCCTCAAATCACCATACTGAAGACTGCATCAAGCTAAATCTTTTGTTTGTGCTGAAAGTCTCCCACGATCAAGGAACACCATTTGAAGAACTATAAAAAGAACTCAAGCCCACCTTTTAATTTGATTTTTTTTGATGGTGTATAATTAATAATTTCAGAAGAGCAAAGAAAAATATGATGGTATAGCATCAATCATCGCTTTTACAGGAGTGCTTGATATTAATGATTTTGGGAAAACTGTACTCTCTGAAAGATCTTGTTTAACAAATGTATTCTTTGAGTGTTAGACATTCAAGCACATTGCAACATTTTTCTTTTCATGTGTGTCAAGATTTTCTTCAATGGTTCTAATGTTGCTTTGCTCTCAGAATGTCCTGATAAATGAGAATTAAAACAGAAAAAATATTCAAATGACTATTAGTGATATTAAAATATATTAAAATGTCACTTGCATAAAACTACTTGTCTGTGGCCACAGAGTGAATAGAATCCTGCAATATGTTATTAATTTCAAATCGTGTATCACCATATGCAGCCTTCAGGGGAACAGGTCATCTGCTTTATGGGACTTTAGCCATTCACTGTAGAACATGAAGAAGATAATACCATATTTAAATCAGAATTTCAAGAAATGGCAGAATTTGACTAAAATGTGCACAGAACACTGTATTAACATAGGCAAGTCAAAAGGTTTCAGTCAAGGATACAGATTCCGGTCGTACTTAACACACTAAGTAGGAAATACAAAGACAGTGCCTACTTCAAAGCCTTTGAGTTTTGCTTTCTGACAGAACACACCAAATCAAAAGGATGTGGGATTTTAGGAATGTGATGACCTGCAGCCCATAATAACAGCAGATTCTGAAGTGCAGGGATGCAAGGCATTTATATAGTAAGTGAAGTTTCTTTCAGGATTACTTACACAGTAAATAATGTAGCTTTTGGAAACACTATGTGTATTAGTGTGAATCTTCCCTAACAAATAACTGTCATGTAACATTCCTGCAAGGCAATGGAATAAGAAGTTACAGCAGGATAACAAGTGTGTCTCTAATTTAGCATCTGACTCAAGTCCAGTGCACACTGGCTGACAGAAGTCAAAGTTGCCTCAATAATGCTGCTATTTTAAAGAACTCGGATCCTTCCAAAATAGCTAGATGCTGCTTGGGCTATGATGAAGACTCTCCTAAGTTTCAAATAGAGGAAATCCAGTCAGCTGGTGGCACAGCAAGAAAAAACGTCACGACTTGCACAAGCCTGGCACACACTCTCTTCCTGTGATTTGATCAGCTCTACCAAACACAGTCAAGTGCAGTGACTCCAGGACTCAAACACAGATCACTGATTTCCTGCTCTGGAAACTTGACATGTTATTGCTGTCTTTGCAGTAAAGTCTCTGAGGTTCAGAATTTGACAGCCTCAATGGAGGGTTGAATAAAGATTATTTTCTTGTTTATTTACACAGCGTTGTAGCTGGAGATCCATGTTACCATATTCTAAGAACTGTATGAAAACGAATAGAATTTTGATACCTCTGAGACTGAGCAACTCCTGTTTAACTCTGTGCCACCTCAACACAAAAATCCTTACACTGGCAATCCAAATATTCCTGAACTCCATGCAGTCAGAATCACTATCGCTTTGAGGAAATGGACTCGAAAGTGTAGGTTTTATTGTACATTTGTGCATATTCATTCAGACAGTGTAGACTGAGATTTCCTTGCCCAAAAGATGCCCTACTTACCAGAGCCAGAGAATGCAGACCTGGCAGTGGCGTCTGATACACAGCAACATAAACCCAGCCACACTTGCCCTCACAGAGCAAGGTAAGCTCATAGTGATGCTCATATTTGACAGTAAATGGAGCAGAAGTGCTTGTGGTGACCAAAAATGTCTTTGAACTGTGTCTAATGTGCATTATATCACAGCTTACATGGTCTCAGTTGCCTGGGAATGGTGCAAGTTATGTGAGTTTACTTAGACAGCACAGTCAGGTGACAAAAAAAGAAAAAATTCAGGATTGCTGCAGGTTTCGAGTAAAATCTACTTCTGATGAGTCTGTTCATTAAGAAAGGGAACATGCCTCATTGCATACCCCAGCCGTCTGTTCTGAGAATAAGGTTTACCGCTCCCCTCCCAAATATATATATGGCATTAAGTAGGAAATCAGTATGATCTTCAATGATCCCAATGCAGTTTTTGAGAACCGAAGTACTGCATTTGTTCTGAAGCCTAATTCCTTCTCTTCCCAGAAGAGATCTTTGATGATATTCTGGATCTCCTCTGGTAGTTATCTTTTCCTGTCAACTTCGTCCTTTCCTCACATACTGCATAGAAGTTGCCTATTTCACTGCAAATGCTAATAGCCAAAAAGCACATCATGATCACAGAGGTGGACATCATCCTCAATGTAGTGTTATGATAAGAAAAGATGTCTTTAACTCTGTTAATTACTCGCCCTATCTCATTTTATTTCTGTCATCCAAAGGCACTAACAACAGAAAACACTTTGTGCATTTAGTGTTTTTTGTGTTAAAAATTTATGCAGTGAACAGGGCTTAAGAGTTTGTAACCACTGAATTGCAATGACAAGAAGACACATCACAAAAAGTATATGATACCTACTCATCCCTGTTCTCTTCACTATAGTGCTGAGAAACACTTGCATGGTCATCAGTATGAAAGTGTCACCATCAGCACCAGCACAGCAACAATCCCTACCAAAAGCTGAGGTACTTACTACCAGGATCAGTATTGATATATATAATTTTAAAAACATTTTCTTTATTGTCAGTTCTTGAGTTATGACATCTCTGCCGTGCATGAACGTAAGCAACACAAACCTTCGAGGTTTTTTTGCAGGTGGATGCATCCTCTAGATAAAAGGTGTAATGTATCAATTACTCACATAGGTCTGCCTGCAGCCACACATCCCTCTACGTGCGAGTAGACAATGAGAAGGATTTGAACATCAGGCATTTAGGACACATCTCTCCTGCCATTTTATGTTTAACATAAAATGGTATCACAGGTCTTCAAACCCTGATGTCTACAGCACACTGAGATGAGTTGTGACAAGTCTCTTGTTCCAAAGGCTAGAGGGAGTTATCTATTTTTTGTTTCTGAGGAGATGATAGAGTTCTTTCAAGTAATTAGTCAAGATCTGGTATTTTAATTCTAGACTAAACAGAAGTTAGAAGACTTGCATGTCTATATAGTTTGAGGAGGGAACAGAGACGATATGGATTTTCTAGCCTTCATGGTCTCACACAGGCACATATACATATCCATCTCCAATACAGACGAGTATAACTTTTACTTATATGAGTTATATATGCACCTACGACAGGATTCATTCTAAAACATATTAAAATATTTTTATTTTTAATATCAGTGAAAATTAAAGTAAGCAAAAGCATCACTGGGGCTAGATAGGATTTTTACTTAGTCTTCTGGAACACTTCTGACTGTTCGGATCTATTGCTAGTTTAACAGTGCATTTCAAAATCTGAGTGCATCCTGATTTTATCTCAGAGTATTTTTTTCCTCTGTTTCACTGTTTAGAAGCCTTGTCTCAGTACCTAAAAGAAAACTAAACTGAAATAAACACATAGCATTAATTGTCTATCTCTCCTTCTCTATCGCCTCCTTCCACAAATAAAATAAAAAATCTGGCGCAGGACAAAAACACACTAATACATGGAGTCTGGCATTTCAAATAATATTATTCAAGATAATGTGAAATGAAGGTGGTATGCTTGGGTTATGTGGAAGTGGTTTGCTACAACAACTGCCCTTTACCTTAACCAAGCACCTAATTTAGGGGGTAACACAGACAGTAGTCTCTGAAAAAGCATTCTCATTCATCTTTCCAAGTATCTTGCTGTTTAGGCATATTAGGAATTTTAAGGGAAGGGAGAGAAATTATGGAAAATTTACTGTACAAAGCTGATAGCTTCAAAATCTTTGTACTGGGACATCAGGCGCTAACTGTTAACATCGATATATGCTTCAGACAAGGGAGATTAATTGTCTATCCTGTGGAATATCTGTTCACAGAGAAACAAAAAGCAGTGTGTGGAAGGAGGGGTCTTACCTGGAATTTTCAGAAAATTTCTTAATGTTCTGAATTAAGAAGAACATCAGTTCTTCCAGGGAAAAAAAAGGTTTAAAACTTCCTCAACCCCCTAAAATGTTTCAGTGCACAAGGAAACCAACTTTATCCCCTTATTTCAGAAAAGCATATGCCTTCAGAGAAAGAGCAATGATTACAGAAGCATCAACCACACTGATATTTGCTCTTCTGCAACAAAACAGAGATTTTAAATTCATGCTGAAAAGCTTTTCAGTAACTTTGTTCTTCAAATAAGATTCATCATCAAGATCTGTGAAAATCAGCAGCAGAGGTAATGGAGAGGGCCAGAAGCTGACCTCTGAGTGACAATTAAAAAGAAGGAATTAGGAATAGAAAATAGAACATTAAAAAACACCGAATAGTGAAATGCTAGACAGTCTGTTACCTCATCATCATCTGCATCATACTGTGCATAATGCTGCTCCAGCAGCTCTCTCTGGCGGCGTTCTTGTTCTAGAGTTTGGCTAATCAGCTGCGCAACCTCACTCACTTGGCCCGGCTTTTCTCGTCCAATTACAAACCTATACAAAACATTCATGAAAAAATATTACTCCTGTTGTTTTACGAAAGTTGTAGATTTTTAGCTGTCTTGTATAGAAGGTAGCCTTCTTCTCCAAAGATACATGGCTGTGATTGTTTTAAATGGGTTCTGTGGATGACATTTGCCAGTAGGGCACTGTCTGCAAGACTTGGAGTGATCAAACCATGACAGCATTCACAGGAGGGGGAAAAAAGAAGTCATCACTAAAGCCTTCACTCCAAATTTCAGTAAAAAAGATTCTCTGAGTTTGAACTTTATGGACACAGACCTACAGTGGGCAATTAAAAAAAAAATCACTTCCATTTCCCTTAGAGCAGTCTATTTCCCAAAAGCCTACAGAAGACCAGATGCACAGTAACAATAGACACAATTCTGGCAGCTCATAGTGAAAGGAACATGCACCAGAGTAACTTCTTTCTCCATCTTGACTTAGAAGATATTTCTAAGCATTTATACTTGCCTTCCTCCTGTCTATAACAGAGAATCTATTTCCACATTTTTAAATCTGACAGACACCATTTCCCTAATTCTAAGCCTCATTTAAATCTTTCTTTTATTTCATGAACTTCTGTTGCTAAGGAGCTTTTTTCTCCACTGTTAGCTATTGCTGAACACTGGGAACACATTTCTTTGGCTTAACAAAAGACAAGGGAAGTGCCTCTTTCTTGGTTGAGTCTCACAAGACTGCTTCCCAATCTCACTTTCAGCAACTGAAATTCAGAATTGACTTGGTATGTAACACTTTTTTTTCAGCACAGTGGCATAACCGTAATTAGATTTATTGCTATCCATAGAATGATAAACACCCATTATTCAGCACCAATACACTGTAAACTACTGAAGAAAAGCCCAATTTAAAGATGTTAAGCTGAAGGAATATTTTCTTAGCAGGTTAGAAAGACAATTAGGTAATTACAGGTGAGGAAAGTTATCAGGCAGAGCTGAAAAGCATGATCAGGTGACACTGAGATACTGCATATCGTAAATTATTTGTTTCCACAGCACTTGGCTCAAATGGTGAATTTAATTTATTATTGGAATGAGAAGTAGAAATGTGCATTATATCCCATGTAAGAAAATTATTTTCATTAGTACTGCCTATCACTGTTAAAGTCATTTGGGATTTGGCATCCATGTGTAAGCCAGCTTCCCATGAGTGGATGACCCTGAGTCCATTCCTATGCCAAACAATTTGTCAGACTCTAGGAAGTCAGGCACTACAGGAAGGAATACAATTTGGAGATTATTTGAACATCATCAAAATATTCAAGGCAGTAATTACTTCCAAAAGGATAAAAAACATGAGGATGAGTGACTCTATGTGAATAATGACACAAGGTGCTCTGAAAATAATTTGCAAGAAACTGTCATAGTTTAAAAACATCTATAGGAAACAGAGCAGAAACTAGAACAAAATCAAGGATATAACCTCAGCACTTTAATCCTGATCAAAACAGATCACAGTTTGGCACTCATATTCTACTATTACAAAATATGACATTGGTTCTCAGTAATGATAAAGACCTTGGGCTGAAAGAAAAAGAATGTTTCTTCCTGGCCCCTATACTTCATCTGTTCTGCATACTGACTCATAGTCGGATCCTGTTTCCTCTGAATTTTAATTTTAGAGCCAAGTATTACAAAGACTAAGCCAGCCATGTTTTCAGTCTCAATTGGGAGGAACAATGAACTTTTGATATTACTACATGAAGTAAAAAAAGATTCAACCCATATTTGCTACGTATTTGCCTCCTCTAATGTAAAACCAAATTAAAAGAAAATATGAAAAAAAAAACCTTCTACTTTAAACAAGCATTTTAAGCAACAGTATGCATGACTGTATTATTTATACATAGTAGAGAGCGCATCACATTTGTAAACACATGAGGGAGATCACCAATGTGGTAAATTATGGAACCACACAAAGTGAAGCAAATACCGTATTCCCTCCTGCCCTCTGCCTGATAATTCACCCCCCTTGGAAAATAAGAGACTCGGAATATTTCATACAACCATTTTTGTACACTGAAAACTTAGAACAGACAACACGTAATGCATCTGAAGTCTGGTAATTCCTGATTATTTAGGAGTGGTTTTGACACATTAGACTGCAGTGCAAGAGTATTTTCATACAGGCAAACAAGTTTAGGTAGGATGTAAAAATGTAAAAGCTTATTAATTTAATTTTTCTTCTCATGCCAAAGCCACTCACAGTTTATAGTGATGTCATTTTCAAGGCTTAAATCATATGTTAAAATGAAGTTCCTCAATGTTACCTGAAGCTGATAGATACATGAATAAAGCCTCAAAGTAATGACAAAGTTTAAAGCAAATGTTTTCCAAAATAGAAATATACAAGGAATGTTTTATTTTTGTACAATTCACTGCTTTGAAGTGAGACATTTCCAAAGTCTCTGAAAATAAATATTTAGAAGCATTCAATCTACAATTGATGTCAGCTCTAGATAAAGAATTGTAAATTTGTAAAATGGAATACTACATTGCCAACAATTACATTTTTTACAAACCAAACCAAACCTTTTGTCATGTTACATTCCATGACCTGAACAACACCATGCTGCACATAATTATGTTTAACTTGTAAATAAAAAAGCCATAAATTATAAATTTATAATTTAAAGAGAGATGAATAAATATTTCTCTCTTGGAAAATTGTAAAGCAGAGGCAGTTATTAAAATGCTAAGCATGAATTAGATCTTTATGCCTAGAATGGCTTTGAATACAAGAACTATAATAATCTGAAGTGCTTAAATACAAAAAAGAGACATAAGGTTGTGATTCACTGACCAGAAAATTAGTCACTGAACTATAATATGCACACTTCAACAAAGTGGCTGATTATATATTTCACATCACTCTGGCTCACCAAAATTAAGCACATGCATTTCAGACTTGATTAATTAGTCTCAAGGGCCAGAAGTATTATAACAAAGAACTATAAATTCTATCTGCAATAATATATGTAAGAAGCTGGTTATGTTTCTGGATATGAGACAAACAAGGGTTCTAAAGCCTTTAAACCTCATCACGATAATATTCCCCTCAATTATTAAAGCCAGCAACAACAAAGTAAAACCCAGCAAATCTGTGACACTGTACTACAAGCCATCACTGTACCAAATCTCAGGCCATTACTGATTATTCCTGATGTCCTCAAAAAAGACAGAGGAGAGAACATCACAGGGAAGCAGGGCATGAACTGACCTTGATATTCAGAGTTACACGCAATCTAGCTCAATTACCAGCTGTGAAATATTCTCTTTGGTTGCAGTTAAAATAAACAGGGACAGAGCTAGGAATATAATTAATATTGGACTCTATCTTGGATTTAACAAGATCTAAAAGAAAACAATATCTACAAGAATTGGAAATTAAACTACAGTAAGGGTTGTTAAGAAACGCATTGTACTGAAATTGGCAGCAACTCCTACATCTCCTGCAACCCTGTCATGATGTAATGATTTTAAAGCACACCTGATATATGGCTTTCTGCATATTTCCAGCTTATATTAAATGAGGATCTGCAGACCTCTGCTTCTTGAAATAACAAAAAAATAATTTATTGACTTTTTTACCAGTCATGGGAACCAGAAACATTATTATAAGAACTAATTAAATTAAAAAATATTTCCATTTTGAAAAGAACTTTGGTACTAGAAAAACATGTGAAGACACCAACTCTCTGACACAAAACTGAAGTTCTGCAGCATGGATTTTTAGTGACATGAGTTGATGATTTCTCCTAAAAATACTTCAGGCATTAAGTGCTTAGTTAAAAATAATTTAGCATGGATTCCTTAAACTCAACAAAAGTCAAGTAAGAATACAGCAGACTCATTCTAAGAAATAAAAAATGGGGTATTTTTGCTGCAATAGAATTCACAATTTTTTCTTCTAACCTTTCCTAAAACATAGTTTGGTCAATAAAAATGCACAGTAAATTTCATCATATTGGGGGGAGTTTTACAGTTGGATTTAAAAAATGGTTCTCCTCTGAGCTTTAAAGCACAAAGCTCCTTCTGCTACCATTTATCTAATTTATTTCAAGATGTCTTCAATTACCTACTCTGGCTGCTTCCATTAGGATAATAGCCATATAATTAATCCAAAGTGCTAAAAGTAGTGTGAACTCTGTAAGAAGGCAGTTTTATTTAGTCACAGCAGTGCAAGCTGGAACTTGTCAGGTTTTCATGAACAAGATCAAGCTCTCTTAAAAGACGGCAGCCCCAAATGCAGAGGTCACTGATGGGACATAAGCAATTCACAACCTATGAGCTTCCATTACACTTCTTCAGATAAAATGATCTGAAACATAAGAGTCCCAAAGACTCTTCGAATCATTGAATAACTTAGGTTGGAAAGGAGCTCTGGTCCACTGCAAGCCCCTCACTTCAAAGCAGGGCCAACTTTGTCATGGCCTTAACCAGTTTTGAATCTCTCTAATGATGGGATGCAACCTGTTCCAGTATTTGAGAAAGCTCATAGTACTTCTTTTTTGGTGAAAATATCTAGTCAGAATTTCCCTTGCTGCAACTTCTGTTCATTGCCTGTTATCTTGTCCCTGTACAGAGAGTACAAAGAATCTGGGTTCACCCTTCTACCTCCTGGAAGGTAGCTGAGACAGCAGTAAGATGCCTGACATGCCATTGTTTTCTTTGGATTGAAGATCTTTCCACCTCTTCCCAGGGTGCTTCCTGCACAGCCGCTCTGTAGCTCACAGTGTTGCACAGGGCTATGCTGCTCCAGATGCAGGACTCACATTTGCCCTTGCTTCATAAGGTTTCTGTCAGCTCATTCCTCCAGCCTGTTGAGGTCCCTCTGCATAGCAGCCCTGTCTGTTAGCCTATCTAACCTCATCTGCAAACTTGCTAACTGTGCGTTCTGTCTTCTCTTTGTAAATCCACACAGCCCTCCCTTGCACCAGAGACAAGCATGTGCATAGCAATCTTCAAAGCCAT